TCTTAGTCGACAGTTCTGGATTTTCAGCTACCTATAGCCACCGTAAACCAGGACCGGTTTTGGTTGGAGACGAAAAAATAACGCAATGATTGGAGGGTAAATGTCCTTGCATCATTTTTCCCACCTCACATCTTCTGGTTCGGCACTCTGGGCCATGGTAATTACAGTGCATGGCATGGAGGATTGGTGAGGGATTACGGTACATTCAGGGGCGTACAACAGTCCGTACTTGACACACACTCAGTGTCGCACGGAGTCAGACAGAGGTCATTTTCTGTCTCAGGCGAAGGTTGGGGGCCTCTGAGTATGAACCAATCATATGTCTTTCGGAGTAATGCCGAACCTGGGCAGGGGGCTGACGTTTGAGAGCGGCATCCGCATGTCAGAGCGAAATTCGCTTGTGATTTTCCCGCTGTCACTCGCGGTATCATCCCATGTTTGGAGATTGATTGCCTTGGAACTTGCTTGATACGGCCATCCCCTTCACGACGGTGCTATGACAAGGTTTGCTGTGCCTGGTTTGAGCCTCTCGGCAGTCTACAGTATGCCCCAGACACAAGCCAATGTAGGTACCTGTTGTACTGATCTGATTTGAACAGCATTTCCACGCAACATGTCCTCTTTCGATGTTTATACGGCTACTCCAATGTCGTTGGTCTAGTTGAAAGCACGGTTATCCCTCAGGTGTTTGCTTGTTCAACGACCTGCCAAATTGGAGATGCCAGTACGTAAGAACCATCCGTATCTGCATGAGTGACATATTCAACACAAAACTTTGAAAATTTATCTGTTTGATCGACAACGGCGCTGAGCATCAGCCCTGGGTGGGATCAACAGACATACCGTATTCTCGATGTGGTATTATTACGACAAGATGGACTTGTAACGCGCACACAAAATCCACGTACCTTTGGGTACGAACATGTGACACTGACTTGTATCCCGGGTCATTTATGACAGATTTGGTTTTGGCGCCGGCTTATTCACCCGATCTGGATCAGATACAAAGCAAAAAAAGCAACAAGTACCGGCATCCTAATGCAACAGTCCCGCAACCTCCATGGGCCATGTCCTGGGGAGTCTTAGCTTTTGGGGTCTCTCTCCCCTACACAATCCAACAGCGCATTGATTGGATTGCGAATCCCGAATCCCTCTCTCTAGACTCTAGTACTCTAGGTACTGTACCCGGCTACAACGCTATCTCTAGTTCTGGCTGAGTCATGAATTTTGTGGATTTGATGAATTCATTGACTCGGCGAATCCCCATCGGCATATCGCCCAACTTACTTTCACGGCATTATCTGACGGGCTAGGGTTTAGCGTCCAGAAAAACAGGAGAAACAAACAAGTGAGAGATCCACCAAGATTGGGATATCTCGGTCCCGTACGGTAGCGTATTGTATCTCGCTACACCCCAAGGGCAAAGCATTTGCGAACGGACGAATGCGCAACCAAATTACTTCTTTAGCCCTTCCTTCCTTCCTTCCTTCGCTCGCTCGCTCGTTTGCTGGCGTGCCTTGTTGGTGCAGTAAGATGCAATATCACACTGACGCGGCCGAGAATCACGCCGTAGAGCGGCTTATCCGAACCCCCCCGCCCCCATCATGAGTCTACGGTCACAGGATCCAGGGGTCTAGGCCACTGTCTATGGTCCAGTCCATTGCAGCGTTGTTGGGCAGGATATAACGTTACTTGGCATCACTCGAGCGATCCTCCTACAGTATGAATCTCAAGTGTCGTCAGCCAGTCAGTCAGACACACCCGTGTAAGTGAACAGAGATCAGCACAGAAAGATTTACAGCACCAAATGGGCGATTTATGCGGCTCGTCCGGGATATATTCCGCTATGCCCTGCTCCGAGGAGATATTAGGCGAGCAACAAGGTTTTGGAAGTTCTGGGGTCGGGCGGCCGAAACTACGGACTTCTGTTTGAGAGTCGATGGTCTAGCCCAGCTGTCCAGGTACCACACCTGGGATATCTGTGGCGCAGGCGCGACACATTTTGATTGATACTGGCTCTGTTTTAACAGCTACCGGCGCGCCAGCTATGAACTGGCCAGGTATTTAGGTGCCGGGCCCAAAACCTAAATCAACTTAGTGTGTTTCTCGGCATTTCGTAAAAGTCCGTAGATCGGGTAAGGATATCCAAGATGAAAAGACGACAGCTTTTTGTTCGAAATTGTTTATCCTTCAGGGTATCCACAGAGCCTTGAGTCAAGTGAGTTCATTCTCACAGAACTGCGATATCTGGATCGGAACTAAGCCCCGTCTGTGCCGCTCTGATGATGGGGTCAACATCCCCTTATTTGTCTTGGCACGGTACTCTGGCCGTCTTGTGTTGGCTCTGGCTGCTTATCACCTACGCGGGAAACCATTTCCGTGATGCACTGGTGGTGCTACAATACCTAGCCTTGAGAGAAATGCCTCCATCGTCAACCAACAGACATCCATGGTTTGATGGTATACGACTCAGCTCCACCGGTACTTGTAGCACCAAACCCGTTGTCGCTGTGATTCCGACGCCCTGTGTTCTAGCCATGGATACGGAGTACGGGTTCAGTTCTGAATACATACATTGTGTTGGGTCCAGTTCAGGTCACCCAATTATTGAAACCGGTAGTATGGTATGAGACCTGCGAACAGGTATCCCAAATGGTCGCAGGATTGTGGCGAGAGGCAGTCAGTCACCAACAAGGACAACTGTCAAAGCGCCAAGAAACCGGGGTCTCGAGATTCTGACCACTCAGAAGAGCTTCTGTCCGATGAGTGTATTAAACAGGGATAGGGGTTCTCATCGTGGGTGAAGACAATGGCAATGGCAGTGACAATGTCGCAATGTCGCAATGAAGATTGACATGGGGCTTCTGCCACATGCGGTAATGCAACAGTCTCACATGCCGGTAAGTGGAAGTTCTACGGTTAACTTGTTTATTAATATTTCTTATTACCGGGAAGTTGATAGAGCCCTGCCATATAGGTTAGGTGACTTATTGTCATAGGGTGACATGATATCAGAAGCTTGATATTGAATGCTTATGTTTATAATAGTCTGTAGTAATGTTTCAATAACCGTGTTCTCATACCCTGTATTTAGTCTTTTTCTTTCTTTCTTATAGTATGTGACTGGCTTCTCTGTTAATATTGTCACGATATGTGCTGTATGTGGTGTTTAACGATTGCTACTGCTAATGGTGATCAGTGGTGTAAGTCCATGACACTGAGTAAAGTCCGGATGAGTTCGATAAACCCCCATAACGGTAGGTACGCAGAAGACCCCTATACAAGTAACAGCTCGTTACTCGTAATTGTGGCACCTACTTGTTTATTTGACAGAAGAATGGATCAAGGTGCTATGAGCTGGTATCACGACCTATGGTGACCCCGCCGACAACATCATCAGCCACAGAAAGGGACTGAGAATGAGAGATCAATATCTATTAATTGAACAAGACTCGCGTATATTGGATATATAATAGTAGCACAAAGTAAAGCTGATTTATGCGACTGTCTCGTGTATCGCTGTGCTTCCTGTCCATGATACATACTGGTGATCCATGGCAGAAGTGAGAATAGAATATCTCTAAGACGGTTGACATGAGAATTGACACATAACATGCTCAAGCATACGAGCGGTGTATTAAAATAACAATATATGAGTTTTGACCTTGAGAGTTCATGAGTTTCTGCTTGAGCTGATACTCTTTGATGCCCCTGACTCATATCCTGAAAGACGATCAAGTCTTCAGTCCCTTCAGCTACCATGAGAGAACCACATGGGAATGATATTTGGAGTTCCAAGTAGAAAAGATTGTTGCATCGGGTGCTCCTTATGACGAACAATTGCTTAGAGACCACAGTGTCATGCTGGCCTGTCAAACTCAGGGCGAGCTTCACGGGAGGATAAGACGGACTGAAGATCGTAGGTTTGAAAGAAAGTTAGATTAAATGAACCTGTTTGTTTAGTGCAAATACACTGTCTTAGGGTCTTTCCCATGGATGTCAACATTTGAGTAGTGCCATGTGAGCTTCTGCCATTTCCTATATGCTTCAATATAAATCCATCAAAAGCGTCCAGGAACGATCTGAGAGCGCCAAGATAAGTCAATTGCGAGAAAAAGCCTATATGAAGTCAAGAACATGGCTTCTCATATTGTTTCTCTCATTAAAAGAATTGTCATTAACTTTTATAATTCTCCAGAACAAGTCATTGTTTCGAGGGTGAACTTCATCGACCTGTCAAGCACGACACATTTAGATCAGTAAAAAACAGATCAGGTATACATTGTGTTATTCTATAGTCCCTTTATATGTTTAGAGTGAAAGTCTGTGAAGAGACTCTTTCTGGTCGTGGGCATGTGTCTAAAAGGGGTGATGACAGTATACGTATGATTCTTGACTCCAGGGGGCATGTGGAATGGAAATCGAAGATATAAAACGAAGTTGGAGCTATTTCAGACATACTACTTGAGTTATACTGCAGGTAGTATTGAGGAGCATGAAGTAGGGAGTGTCGCTCGAAGTTCACCATGTAGAACACTCGCATCGGGGTGCATAGCCCTCTAATATCAGTGAACAGCAGAAAGAAAATATAAGCGACTGTAATGAAAGTTGCTAATGTATCACTCAATTTTATGCCCGTGCTCAGCGTCGTGTTGTATGCAAATGGTCGATGCTGGCCTTCTGATGTCAAGCAATATCGATGCCACAACTGAAGCATCGGCTTTTACATTCATCTAATATTGAAGAACTATGAAGTATTATTTATGAAGATATGAGATTTCATTGTTCATATACTTGTAGAATGAGACGTGGCTGAGTTCTACTGAGTTTGTTGCCCAGATTGTGACTTGTATATCAACGGTGACCATGACCAGACTTTTCATGAGATATACAAAACAGTTCAATATTGGCTAGTAAAAGATCGACCAGAACCATATAGGCTATGTATAGAAAGCTGCGACAATGATTTCAGAAAAGAAGTTGAAGAGGATTGCTGTCGTTGTTATACAACGGGATGATAATTGAGACTATAGCAAACCCATCGCGATAGTATAAATGGTCACGAAAATAAACCGCAAAAAGGGACACTCCAATTATACAAACGTAACGTCATAACTAAGAGGATGATTAAAGCCGTGCAACTGCTGCGGGTGAAATCGCCCTCGCGTAAGACGAAGTCGTATGACTTTGTTGGTAGATTCAACAAAGCGAACAATGCGGCTTATTTCACGGTATATTACGTATCGGATTTCGGGGTTGACACAACATCAAACCCTTTTGTATTAACCAACACTCCGAATTGGTTGTGCTGGTCTGATGGAATATAAGAAATGCGATAAACCGTCTTGATATCTCACTTGCCTCTTCATAGTCATCTATTGTTCACAAAATGACATCGCGGCTTAACTCCATCTTCCGTTCCTTTTCCAACCTCAGTCCACAGAATCGACGTTTGGCCATCGCGGCTTCAGCCGGGGTAATTATTGGTATCCCGGTCTTTCGTATCGCAGCCGAAGACTACCGTGGATATCTTGCTCTCGGGCCCGGAGGTCCACCTCACAACCTCATCGGGTGGATTGGCCAAATCCTCCTAAAGCCTCTGAAGAAGGAACCTTTTCATACGAGCTGCTATGATGAGAAAGCGTGTGAGAAGGTGGGCCCTAACGGACACGTCGCTTTCTTGAGTGAGGGTGATGTTCCTGTTCGTGAAGCACCGAGGCCGACGATAGGGAAATGGACGGCCCCGAGTCGACAGTTGACGGATATGGCGAAGCAGCCTCTAATCGATGTATGTGTATTGCTCCAGCAGAGGGTCATTCTTTTAGCTAACAGCGTCAGCGTTACCAATCATTCCTCTCATCTCTAGCATCATCACCTTCTGCAAAGCTCAAGATCGCAACATCTCTCGCAGAGCGACGAGGCCCAGCCCTCTTTGTAGCTTCCGACAAACCTTCCCACCCTATAGCAAAGCGCACAGGAGGAGAGATCGGGCACATGCATGGGAGCGATGGTTCAATGCATATTAATCTGGCTCCAAAGGATGCGAAGCTTGTTTTAGATAGAGGCTGGGGTCAGCGTCACCCGCTGAGTGGTACTGTTCTGTATTTGGGTAACGTGATGGTTTATGCGCCGAGAAATGAGGATGAGCTTGAGGTTGTGAAGAATATCACGAGAGCAGGTGTGAGGTTTATGCTTGGTGAAGAGTCTTAGTTCAGAGGAATGCTCTTGAAAACATCTGTGTAATATCATGCTCAGAGATACATCAGCCATTATATGCAACTGCCAATTGTGTACCCGCAAGTGATACATATCCATGGCAGATCACGACCCCAAAAATGATATAGACGGCGCAATAAATCTCATAACAAAAAACAAGGAACAGACTCATGAGATTCATAAAAAATGCAAAAAAAGAAACCTAGCAATTGCACGTTTCGATCGTGCGACCTCCGGGTTATGAGCCCGGCTGTGTCTGTTAGTATCATTGGCCAACTGATGCATGTTGTAGAGAAACATACCGCGCTTCCACTGCGCCAAATTGCTTTCTTGGTGAAAGAGAACAGTGAATTCGTCGTCCATATAGCCCACCTGTTCACGGTCATAGAAGCGGGGGCGGGGTAACCTTATCGACAGCATTGGACATCATCATTGAAGCAAAAAACCAAATGAATTAAAAATTATTTGATAATATGTTGTTTACTGGGTTTAATAGTGTGTTATTTCTTTGCGTCGCTTGAGTTTTGTATAGTCCAGAATGTCTCCTCATATTAATGTGAATTTGCAAAGCCGCCTGTCACCCAAGAAAGCAGCTTGGCGCAGTGGAAGCGCGGTATGTTTAACTGACTCCATAAAATCTACACAACTAACTCATCTCAGCCGGGCTCATAACCCGGAGGTCACTGGATCGAAACCAGTAGCTGCTATTGTATTCATTTTTTGCTCCTGTCTAAAGAAAGCTTCCTTTTTAATATTTCTGTACATTGGAATTCTCTTTCAGGCTGCATGTTGCGCTACTGCTGCGTATTCAACATCATTAACGACGTATAAGATATTGCGATGCTTGCATGCACAGTTTCAAGCACAAGACCCTTCATCAAAATTAACAAGCATGTTCGTTTTGTCCGAGATGATCATTTGCCGCTAATACGACAGTACTGAAAGGAATCTGTATATGTTGGAATGCGCCGCTAGGATGAATCTCAAGTCCCTGAGCTGCCGCTGATCTTCTTATTAAAACTCCAGCGTTAATATTGCTAGTCGAGGCTATGCACTCAGAGCAACAATTAAACTTGCATCAAGAAGATGAGCCAATTACTACAGAATTATTGGCCACAGTTTTCCTTTTTCGCATAGCGTATCTCCAAGCTTGAATTGCGCCGCAATGCTCGTCTATCTGTGACATCTTCACAGCCCATTCTGGAGATGATGAAGCGCCGGAAATAAGCCCTAAAGGGAAATTGACCAGCCTGCCAGCCTTACAAGGGCGCCTAACAACGTCATAACCAATCGCTAATACCGAGCTAAGACTGCGGCAGTGCTTCAGCGGCGTGGAGATCTGCTGATCTTTTCCGTAAACAGTAGCGATGCAGCGCTCACCTTCAAGAGAAGGATCACAGTTATTGAGTATATAAGTTGAAGCAATTGCCAAGGTATAGAAATGATATCAATACAATAAGTCAAGACATTCAAATACAAAGACCAAAGTATTACATTCATCAAGTTCAATTTTCGATATTCTCAATACCACAAGCACTTTCTTCCAACACATCTCATAATGGGTCACTCAAACTCAAAACTTCAAACTCATCAGCTCTCAGCTGGCGGAATCGAAAAGGGAATCCCACCCGTCATCCGCGTCTCATATGAATCTGGCTGGAGAAAATATGCCTGCTTCGCTCGCATGAGCCTTCTCCTCAGCGGCCCTAACGGCGAGCCCATGTACACACTCAACTTCGTCAAGGGCTTATACGGCGACATCATCCTCCACAGCGGATCAACCATTGATTCCCCACCACTGGCTGCTTCTGGCAGACAATCAAGCTGCCGCGACGACTATTTGATCACATTGCCTTCACTTTCCGGCAATGGCCCTCAAGAGGAGATCCTCCGTCGTCCTAAAGGGCTGAAGGGACGATTCTGGTTTGCTATTCAAGTCGGCCATGGCCCAGACCAGCGCGTGGAGCGTTTCGAATGGCGACGTTCTCGAGGCACTGAAGTCAAGAGCGTTGGTCAATCACGCTGGGGCGGATACAAGCTCGTCCGTCTCGGCAGCACAAACGCCAAGGAGGAATACTTCCCAAGTGAAGAAGATCTCCACGATGGTAGCACCAATGGAGAGGGCTATACCAGCGATGGCAAGGAGGTCGTTGCTGTCTGGGGCAGCACAAACTGTCTCAAGAGTTTGTCAGGTGTTGGAGAGTTTCAGTTCCGAGGAAGCGGTGCTACAGGCGAGTTGGGTCAGTTGTGGGCGTTGATGGCTGTCATGAGCTGCATGTCGATCTGGCAAAAGGTCCAGAGAGATAATGCTACAGCTGGTGCATCGTCTTCATCGGCTGCTTCGGCTTCTGTAGCAGCATCTGCTTAGTCGATGCCTCTATTTATATTTTACCTTATCAGCGTGTGTTTCTTTTTGTTCAGAGGAGGGTCTTATGATATCCATGTTGCGATGATGTCTTTTCCAATAGAAATTAGAGTACTTGATATTTGTTTTATAAACAGTGTTCTACTATGAGACTAAGTCATATAGTAAATTTCGTGATGTGTTTTCAACAGTTGAAGGGGTTGAGTATTTGAGTCTAAGCTGTACCTGCCTCGTGCACGGCTCACGCCTCCACCACAGCTCCACAAGCCCGCAGTAAAAATCTAGTGTCGCGATAGCTTCATCGCCCACAAAAATTGACAAAAAAACATACAACAGCGGGGATTCGCTGGTCGTCACCGACCCAACTACTAATCTGCCCCTTACTAGCTTGACTATGGGAGAGCGGACGGGATCCCGTATTTTCTAGTAGGTATGGTCGTATGTACTGACTGATCACCAAATGCAGATTATATGCGGGCTCGTCCAAGCTTCACTGGCGCTTCGCTCTCTCAACTAGACGCTCAGCACACATTCCAATTTGTTGTTGACCCTCATTAGAACTCAGATAGGCCTCAGCCAGACGTTCAATCTCATCCATGCGCTCCACAGCGGCGAGGTCAATGGCTCCAAGTTCAAGTGTACCGTTGAGTCGAAAGTACTCTTCTTTCCTAATATCTTCAAATCTAGGGTCCTCGAGAATGGCTTTGTGGTGCTTCTCTGTGCTTGTGGCCATATTAATCATGTAGTTCATGAACCCCGTAACTCCTGCGCTCACATCTGAGGCTTGGTACACACCAGTACCAACACTAATCACGGTCGAGATCTTATCATCGGGGAACTCTTGCTTGGCTTCTTCGATCACTTCAATGACGGGGTTATTACTCTCAAGTCCACCATCGAAGTAAGAAACGCCGCCGGCTTCTATGTGTGGGAAATACATCGGCGCTGCTGATGTTGCTCGTGCTGCTTCCCAGATCTTCAACCGTTCAGATGGAACATGTCTTTGTTGGTCAAGAGGCTCATAAGATCGTATTCGTTTCACTTTCTCCTCGTACTTGGGCATGGCGCAGACAAAAGAGTACGTGGCAGACTTCATGTCGGTGATGAGAGTCAGATCTTCCTCGCGGCAGCCACTCTGTCTTACCATAGCCGAGTCACTCGGGAGAAGGTTCTCTTTGATAGTGCGACAAACGGCTTCTTTGAGTTTATCGCCATCGAACCACGGCCATTTAAAAGCAATATTGCTGGCCTTGCGGAGATTCTCCAGGGCAGGCACCTTGAACTTCCTAGCAAACACTTCCTTGGACAGAGACTTGTAAGCCTGAATACAAAGCTGAGTGTCCATCTGAAGCCGGCCAAGCATGATTGCTAGCAAACCTCCTGTACTTGTCCCACCAATGAGGTCGAAATAGTCACAAGGCTTTTTGTGTTCTGCACCAGGGCCTTCAAGGCGTCGTGTCTCTTGCATTAGCCGATCAATAACAATGATGCTAAACAATCCCTTGACACCGCCTCCATCAAGTGACAGAAGGCAAAGACCTCGAGATTCGGGAGCGCTCGACCTATGCAGTCGAGTTTCGAGGTCCATAGCTCGAATCATAAACGAATCAAGAGCGTCGAGGACACGAGCGAGGTTCTCATCTCGTGGACTTTTGAAGCAAACGAGGGACTGGTGGTCCAGATCTAAAGGCATGGTAGGAACAGGGCGGGCGACCAGAGTTGACTCTTCCTGAGTAATAAGCACACGTCTCTGGGCTCACATGTTAGCTTCAGGTCTGGAACACGAGTGACAAGATTCACTGACACTAAGTCCACCAGGCCCCTTGGTTTCATAGAAGCAATTAATGGGGAGGTTCTCCCCACCGAGGCGACGAAAGGCATGATTAACACGAAAGGTGGTATACATGGCCTTTTCCAACTCATGAGAGTGACCGCCCAATGTACCTGAAGCCCCGCGACTCAAAGCCCTCCAAAACTCTGGGACTTCAAGCTTTGCACGACTCATGTCTCTGTCTTTATGGATTGTCCCAAAGAACACATAGCCACGAATCTGGCTATGAAGCGCTTTGTATTCTGGGTCATCTGCATTAGAAGGGTGTGTAGCAACATACACCTGTTTGAGAATAGTGCCACCAAAACTGTGGCCGAGAAAGATAATCGGTGACTCTGAGCGGTTCTCTTGACGGCGGTCTCTGATGATATCATGAATTAGACCGTTTATGCCTGGAGGGTGTGCTGATAAAGTAGAGAGCATATCTGGACAATTGAGAGAGAGGATTCTGCATGATGGGAACTTGGGTACGAGAGCGTGTTTGAGCCAGCAGTATCCGAAGGAGCTCCAAGTACGATTCCAATCACCTCCTAGGCCATGAAGAGCTATGATACTGAGATTAACTTGTTAGTATGTGGTTTGGTGGCATCGAGTGCTGCTTACTCTGCAGATGCTTGATCCGACGTGTTGTTTCCGCCTGTAAGAGAATGAATCGTCCGACCATTATACGATGCCATTTTGAGTTGGCAACACTGCTCTTGGTAAAACCCAACGCAGTGGGCAGTTCAGTACAAAATTACAGACCGATTTGATTCTTGCATGCTCTCAAGCCAAGTTCATATTTTTGGCTGTTGGCCCTTCATGAGGGCCAGCATGCAGCTATGGCTTCGACGATGCTAGCATGGTAGCGACATGCATATGCAGTGGCATATTCAAGACAGCTGAAAAGCAGGCTGGCGCTTCGAAGACTTCATGAGACTGATAGACCAATCCAGGCCTAGTTTCATCAGACAGAGGCATGGTTACTGTGCAAGCACCCATGTGAGGTACAAGATGCTACCTTTCCAATGGGGTATCATTTGTGCCGATCAGGCAGATATTTGGCAAACACAAATGTTGGAAAGATAATTCAGTTTTCGCTAACCCCTCACGAGAAGTGTAAATGATAAGAGTCTAGAATCAGACCATTATCTTACTCACCCACAATCGCCATAACCTCAGCTGTTGCACCAGAAATACCACGTATCCCACTCGTGGCCTGCTCAATGAGCTTCTGATCAATGGCCTTCAACTTCGCCTTTGCAGGAAACTCCAGAATATTCTGCAAGATCCCATTCAATCTCGCCGCCATTCCCCGCCTGGTCTTCTCGTATTGGCATTCCTGCAGTTCTTGCGATATCTCAAAGATGTTGAGCCTCGCCTTCTCCAGTGCCATCTGCACTTCGCAAAGAGTCTTGAACGCTCTGCTTGATTCTTGACGAATAGTCAAGTTTGCGCTTTGGATCTGCTTGATTTGGTCCATGTAGTAGGCGCAACTGTCGTGGTGACGACCTGATTGTGCCATTTGGAGTTCAAGCGATTTCAGTTCTGAGTCGTGGCTTTGGACAAGAAGCTCGTGCTGTTCTTTTTGTACCCTGAGGGCTTCTTGTTGCTCAGAACTCATACTGCGTGTGGCATCATCGTGTCAATGGGGACCATAGAATGCAGTTTGGATGACTTACAGAGTTTTGACACCGGCTACTATTCCTACCGAAATACCAACAAATGGCATTGCAAAAGCTCCCGCTGCCGCAAGTACCGTAACCTGAAGACCGAAGAATTAGCAAGAGATTGATCATTGCTCGAGCATAGGTGGCTATCCTCACCGCTCCCCAAGTATTTTTCCAGGCTCTTGCAGAGTCATGATCCGCTGTGAGCTCCTCAAGCCGTTGAATCTGCTGTGTCAACTCTGCCATTGCCCCAGAACACTCCACATCCTGATTCTGAATCTGATATTTGAGGTCTTCCAACTCCTGCTTCAGCTCAGCTTCAGCAGCTCTCATGGCTTGAAGGTTCTCCTCAACTCCAGAGTGACTAATTTGCGAAAAGTCCTTCTGGAAGCGTGTAGTATCATCGATACTCTCTCCTATGACTTGCCCGGCGTATTCAAACTGTGTCTCGACTTTATGTACACCATTCTTGAGTTTCGCCGTAGTCTTGTTCACGGTATGTTCTGTTCGTCGATCAATGCCGATTAAACGAAGAGCCGATTTGAGATGTGGACTGCGGTCGTGCCATGCAACTAGACGTTTATCGTGTTTGCGAACGAGATTTATGACTTGGAATAGACTCTTGACGGCTTTCTCAAGTGAAGAACTGCATCGTTCGGATTGTGTGGCTCGCATTTCTAAGTCGGCTGCTTTGAGGGACTGGTGCTGTGATTGCAGCACAGTCAAGCGAGCCTGGAAATGAGATAATGAGATTCCTCCCGAGGTTGACATTTTGGTTATTGAGGCCAAATTATAGAATTGGATACAATGGTAGGATTGAATCCAATCCCAGGATTGAGGGTAGGAGTTGAAACTACTCGGCAATTCTTGAAATGCGATGCCGAGCCTGATAAATCCATACACTATTAAGACTCGACAGGCTCTCTCCTACAGCGACCACGACAATGTTGCATGCATGTTGCCCTTGTATAAACTATCAGGTACTCCCTTGGGAAGAGCTGAAAACTAAAATGCGGGCGCCTACCATGCATATGTCGACCCCTGTCTCTGAACGAGGCTTTGGCTTTTATCGTGAGCGGGGATAGGCTCAACGAGGGTTGAAACTGCCCTTAGTTTGCATATGGAATTCCCTGGTAAAGGATAGGTGCAGATGAAACGCTGGCACATATACATTGAGATACTTCTTGGACATGGGTAACCCCTCTTAAGTCGATCAGTCGGCGCAGTGCTTCTGGGATAAAGCTGTGTCTTTTAGATTTTGAAATTCTATCGATGGATATTTAATCGCCTTTAAACTTTCTGTCTGTTGTACTCAATCCCTTAGGAACATCCGATATCGCCAGCTCCAACATGGGTAGCTTAGTTCGGTTCCCGGCCGAGATGTCTCAAGGACCTCGTGATAATCTGTTAGAGCCTTTGATCAGAGCCGAGTTGCTTACTCAGAAGCTTCAATTGTGTCTCTACATTTCTACGACAAGTAATGCCACCTCTGTCTTTCTAGTAGACGCGGATGGCTTCCCTGGGTAAGAAACTTCGTCCATGTCAATAAGCACTTTGGTCTCTGAAACTTGAATACTAACACTATTATCAGGAGCGATAATCTGTCTACAGCCCTGGCTGAGCATTGCCATATGGGGCTCGACAAATTGGTGGAAACACATGGAGCTTTCTACAGTATCTACATGAAGACCAAGTCCATGATACAGGATACGGGAACGGTAAGAGTAACGAACCAGCTCATGCGTACTAATACCAACTTCTTGATTACTAGCTGAACGCACTTCAAAGTACTTTTGGTGTTCCCGGCGAGAAAGCGTCTTTCGATAGGCATCTCAGGAAGCTCACAAACGCAACGGAAGTATGCAGAAAACAATGCGATGAACTTGACAAAAGTCTTCAAGCCTGGCGTGCTTCCGTTGACGAATTCAGTCGTCGTATCAGCAAGACCAAAGGTCAGTCACCACAGGATTCTTACAAACTGTACAGTCTTAGTAATGGCAATAGACATTATGAACCAGGAAGAGAACGCAACAAACAAAAAGATCGGTACTCTGAAGACCGAGATAGACGACCAGATCTACAACCAAGATAGAGCTCAAGCAAACGAAGATGCCGCTCGAGCCCGGCGAGAGGATCTTTCTAGGCAAAAGAACAAATTAGCAAATCAAATTGGAACCATCATCCAGTCTGCTGGTTCTGCAAACATCGGTGGAAAGATGCTCATGGCTGGAGGTCAGATGGCCGCTACGTGGATACTCAACCTCTGGGCGAGCAACGATCTCCAATCTGCGCAGAGTAACATGCAAGATCAGCTTGAGCGAGGCCAGGAGTATAGACGACGTAAGGAAGAGGCCGAGGTCGACATCCAGAAGCTTTCGACGCAAGCTAATGAACTGGTAAAATGCCCTTGTCCCAGGTTCAGTTACACAATACTGACCACCCGGCACAGAAACAATGCATTGAAGTCTTGCAGCCTGTTCAATTGCTGCTTCACGGTATTATAGATTGTCTCCGTAATGCTGCAATTCACCACAACGAGATGCTCGCCAAAATGCAGTCATTTCTCGAGAGTTGTTCTGAGTCCAAGGAAATAGCTACAGGAATTCCTGAAGGGCTTTCCTTTGGAGATACCCTGGTAAACTATCCCATATCCTCTTTGATTGCATACAAAACTGATATTTATAGGACTTTCTAAACGAAATTCAGCTGATGCGCCAAGGTGCACTCGAAATCGGACACTGGTCACTCATCTACTCCAAGGTGATTCAACAGACAATGATGAAAGGCTTTCAGCAAAATGAAACAAGCTTCTCACATGAAGATGTACTTTTCACCATCCAACAATCTCGACAGCAGGCGATCGAATCTGGAAGCGCAAAGCTTATTGCAGGCCAGGTACCACTCACTCACTCTCTTCCTGAGCCCATCAGGTAAACTAACATCTTGTCTAGTTGAAGCAACAGCATGGGGCTGAGGTTGAAGCCATCAGGAAGGATCACGATGAGGTCGTTGGAAAGCTGAAGAGGAAGAATGAAAAAGAAATCAGGAAGATGGCGAGAAGTGGCAAGATGAGAAGACTACTCCCCTTTTCCAAGGCGTCATAGTCCTTTTTCAGCTTGGCCTCTGAGTCTAGCCGGAGGTAGTGAAAACACATTTAAAGAAGTCAACGGCACTGAGATGTAAGAGAAAGCCTTAGATATAGCACATAAGCTTGAGTCTCTCAACTAGCTTCCAATAAGAGCTATTGATCATAAACTATTTTCTGGTTTGCATAAATGAACCTCCACCGCCACCGCCACTGCCACCAAACCGGTCGCCCCTTTTATATATCTGCTATCTTTATCGTCCACATTGAGCACGGCTTCGATATCAGCGTATGCGTCAGTATTCATAGATAGAATTGACATTCATCCCCAGTACCAAGACCCCAAAAGGCCTCGTCCAACAGACAGTTGCAAGTCGGTTACCACGTAGAGTTGAGACTGAAGAAGAGTTCACTTAATTTTAGTCTCCGGGTTTGAGAGGAAGCGATCGTCGATTTTATGATTATTGCGCAAGTAAATGCTCGTACTGTCGTCTGCTTCAAATACGGCAAACTCTCCATTCTTGATTGTGCCAAGAACTGCACTGGTGATCAAGGACAGAGAGTAGGCCCAGTCCATATAAACACCCAAGTTGAAGGAACCATAGTCAGAATCGCTGTTCCATCTCTCCAATTCTTCAACCTCGCTCGCAATGACCTCATCTGGGACATGAATTTTGATGTTGTAACCGTTGTCCCTCATTCGGTTCCCAATAACTTCAAGATGCTCCTTGAAGGCAGTTCGAGTGTCGAGTTTCAGGAAACGACGGCCACAAATCACCACATCATGTCTGTCATCCAAGCTATCAACAATGTTGACTTTTTTGAGCTGGCCCTTGTTGCGGGTCTCGGGGAAATTCTCAGATGGAAATGCCTGTACATCCACATATTTGATTGTTTTGTTGTCGAAGCGGATTGCCATCCGAGCCTTGTGGAGTTCATACTGCCCGTATTCATGGAATCTGGCTAGAACATCTCTGATGGGGAAGGGAAAAGGCTTGCCATCTGATGGGCCATGGAGGTTGAGAGCGGCTACACCATCAACGGGAGCTTTAACAGCTCTGGCGAAGAACTCTTTGCTGGAGTACCGCGACTTTTCGAGACTTATGCACCCAGTGGGATGAATGGGCCCAAGACGAGAGACATTCTGAGACTGAACGAAGAGCTTGTGGATGAAGGGTCCAAATGAAGGACAAGAAGACCAGCGCTTGACATCATCCTCCTGGGCAGCAATCAATGCATGTAGCATTTGGGGCGTGCCCCAGACCTTGCAAAAGGTGTCAAAATGGATCTCGGTGAGATCAAGGTCAATTTCGGAGTTCGACATGGTGATATTGAATGAAAGGTTTGTTGTGAGATGAAGTAAAGACCTGATGGGGTAATTGTTAGTTGGTGATCGTATATGTTGAGCATATGGCCGATGCTTACCTTAAGGAGTTCGAGAGCAGGGCTGACAGCCTCTTGTGAAGTGAAGAAGAGGATGAAAGGAAGAAAGGAAGAAGGAAAGTCAGAGGGAGAAAAAGGGGGTATTTATACTTGGGATGAAGGAGGCAGCTTGGCACAATATCAGTCTGATTCACTGTCAGAATAACTCACTGCCCGTATGATTCACTGTCAGTACTTCTCGTCACAACATTAGTTAAATCAGATACATAAAGCTGCCACATAAGGCACAAACCGCAGTGCTAAAGCACCTATAGGCGAAATATGGCTGATCACAGAACTTTTCACTCCCGAGAACTGGCTCTGGCTATCCTTTTCCTTGGATGGGCAAAAGTGAAGACTAAGCAGATGTGTTTAGTATGCATATCACTTAGGATCTACTGTGGTACCTCAATTCTAACCAAATTCTTATTTAAATCATAGTGGAAATTATGTTGAGAACAGATGTGATCTTGATATACCGAAGAAGATAGGATTGCTGCTGTAATCGTTGTTTTCCCACGCAGCTGTTCCTTTCCTCCGCTGGCGCTCTCTTCACTACCCCTGAGTTTCTGAGACATCAACTACTGTCCTCTCAGTGTCCTTTCGACAAACCATTGCTTCGGTAATTGTTATCCTGGTTCTAGGAAAGATGTAGATGCTACCCAGAGACATAAAAAGAAGGCTGATGAATAATTTGTGACAGTTACAATCTTCAGTCAGGCTTGATGCTTTTTGAGTTGTATTACTGTGGTAGTGAGTAAAGGCTCTAGCTCCCAACTCAAGTCCACAGTACAGATAGGGCGGAGGTACTCTGCAGATTGATCTGGACGTCCTGACGAAAACATGACACCTTGCAACGCAGAGGAGTAGTATGGAAAGTGATACACCCCGAAGGAATGCCCGATTTCTCGGTCGCTGATAATGAATTGTCGTCGTCGAAGGTCAATCTTGATGCTTTCTCACAAAACTGATAGATCCAGGGACGATGCAAGGCGTCAGGCAGGATTGGCGCGATATGTGAGAGCGCCCACTCTCCTATACCCCTATCGAGTTGAATAATTACATCAGAATTCAAGATTCAGTGGATATATATGTTGTATGCAGGCCCATGGTTAGCTAGTGTCGTGGTATAAGAGGCCCTGGAACAAACACAGTTTTATATAGGGTGGTTCCTATATGGTCCTGTATCAGTCAATGACTGATAACACTTTTCTTGAAGGGCTGGCTTCGTGGTCTTCGTCTCCCGTCACATACTTTAGTCGCTTCTCCAACCAAGTTTCATCTGCAGCAAACTGAGGAACATGGGGCCTGATAATATGTTTCACAGCTCTTCCCTACCCAGGAGACTGTGATTTATTATATAGTCGGCGGTTCCTTTTTTTTTGTGGACCAGGCAGAAGGAGCTGTCCTCATCACTAACAAGAAGTGCGCTGATACATCAGTTCGGTCGAGACTGATCATACCTGGTCCTGAGCCTTGGAAGCAGTACAGGTCAGATATCGAATATTGGTAAGGGGTTCATGGACATACCTTAGAATAGGACTTGCTGCACTCAGTACACGACCATCTTATGTATAGTAGAGTTATACGTTAGATATATAGGAACTGGATCAGACATGCATTCTTATGCTATATTGAGAAAATCCATTTCCTCCAAGCTGTGCACGCTCGAGAGACTCCAGTAGCTGTGAGAGAAAGCCTACTTTGTAGAAGTGGGCAGATGGGTCATTTAATATATTGTTGACCCAACCTGACACTGAATTGCTGGTGTAGGGCTCATCTAAAAAGTCAGAAAACGACTTTTGTATTAGTGTGATTCAACGGAGTTCCAGAGAGACTCACGACCTTGAGAAGTACATCGAGGCCCGGCTAATTGCTTGAGTTTCTGCTCTGACGATATGACGATCTAGTCTTTTAGCTCTTAATATATTTTTCCACTTTAGATCGAGATATCTGAAGAGCAAAGTACTAAGTGGTCCTTAACTGCCATACTGACAGGGGATGTGTGGCTTAGAAGAGGAGACTTCAAGATGGAAATTAGCATCGTATTTATACCCGTATCTGAGATGTTTGTATCTTATAATTTCATGTTTTACCTTGGTTTGTTCTTGTTCCTTCATTTGCTAGGCACTGAGACGATTTCATGTTGACTTGTTGACAAATTCGGTCCGTCCCCAGCTGCCTATCTCTTAAGGGCAACACCAAAAATCTTATGCGTTGGCAAATTAAGATAAACAATCACCGGAGAAGCAGACGTAAAGCTAGGTAGACAGATCCTAAGCTCATGTTTTCATAATTGTTATCTTCATTACTCATTCTCCTTACTCCCCTAGACCGGTACCTCATTCATACGCTTTCTACGACGGATCTCATCGTAAGATGTAGCATCACCATCAAGCCTAGGGCTAAGAAGTGTAAGCTTAGGCTTGAATTATATAAGTCCATAATACTAAGTATACCGTTTTCCAGCATTTCTTGAGTCCGAGGGTCGGGGAATTTAACCACGAGACCTGAAGTTAGTTCTTGTAGTTTAAGTACTAACAAAAAACTGATTGCTAAAGTGCAATGGACACGCTTGAGCTTTGTTCTTTTCTATTCTTATGGCTGACTATACAGCCATGTTTGTCTCAAACACAAAACAAGAGTTTACTCTATTTGGAGGCACTTGCGGCCTTCTTCTTCTCCAGAGCCTTTTCCAGAGCCTCAACCCGCTTATCAATCTTCTGGAAGGACCAGCTTTGCCACGGCGAGGGATACACCAGTGGTCGAAGATCAAATCTGTGATCATCTGGAGAGTAGTTCTCGACATGAACTGCTGGTGTCGCCACAGCTTGTTTGTGACGGTTGATGTACTAGAAGAGTTAGTCGAGGAGCAAATCAGACGCTGAGCAATACGTGTGCTATGAGTTTAGAAGTTTGTGGCAGCTTTGTGACAAGCCAGGTGAAGGAAAAGAAGAAACAAAATGGGGGTCATGATGGAAGGTTAAAACGAAAGGACAAAGGAAGGAAAATTGTTGACATACGTGGAATCCATGGAATCTCTTCACTTTAGTGGCAACGTCTCGCGGGCTCATCTTGCCCTCACCACCCCATTCGTCAAGAAGTCGAAGGAACATTCCATATGGCCCGAGTTTGCTCTCCTTTCGGAGTCGCTGTGAAGATTGTCAGTCTGGTTGCAGCAAAGTTCACTGCATTTGCGTCACTTACACCAAAGCGAGAGAGCTCGTCGTATGTCATACCCATATCAGCTAAATTTGCTTGTTAGCACGTTTCTGTTTTGACGTTGAAAGATTGCCCACCTTCGTCACTTTGCACGTAGTCTTCAGTGATAGGTTCAAGCTCGGCCGTGGCTACATCATCGTCACAGGCATCGGCATTGCTATTCGACGAGCGAGCGCACAGTTGTATGGAGGAAAGCAAACGCAGGGGTGCGACGAATAAATGTCTGAGCCCGGGGATGATGACTTTTGACTAGTCATGGAATGGCTGGAAAGACGGGGATTCTGAAGCATGATGGAGATTATGATCTAAGACAGAAAGGGGATGATGATTACGGCATAAGGTTTCATTCTTATTGTTCATCCTTAAACTCGTCTCATGAGTTGTGAAGTTGTCAAGATATGTACGAGTGAATGAACATCATTTGCAAGGGTTTGCAGACCATGCAAGACAACGCTGCGAATCCGAGTCACTCAAGAACCCTAAACCAGGCATAAAATACGTGGGAAAGGCAAGTCATGATAACTTGCCCCTATGTTTCATCACGTTCTGTCTCGGAAAGAGAGCAGGGTACAGGATTTAGAGACAGTGAACAATTACAACTTTTTATATGCACAACACTCTCAAATCAGCCATCTTGGACCTTGACGAACTCGATCCGAATGCTTGTCCAGTGGTCTTTCACGATGAGAATCCACCGATATGAACACCATTGCCAAGCCTTCACGATACATACGACCATACCTACTAGAAAATACGGGATCCTGTCCTCTCTCCCTTAGTCAAGCTAGTAAGAAGCGGATTAGTAGTTAGGTCGGTAATGACTAGTAAATCCCCGCTGTTGTATATTTTTATCTATTTTTTGCCTCCAGAAAGGCAGGTAGTTGTTGGCTGATTTCATTGTGTCTTTTTGTTGTTGGCTGAGTTGAGTGGGTGACCGGGTTTGGATGGCGAAGTCAGAGAAAGGAAATCCTGAGGCTTCGGTGGCCCCTGTTAATAAACCTAGTCTTATGTTCGGGGCTAGGCTTAGTATAAGCTAATAAGAGATCAAGACATAATCATTGAGGTTGTACCCATCTAAGGATGGTCTTGCCTTGTGTTTAGATGAGAAAGCACATATATTAGTCCAACACATCCTCGGTCATCTCGACTATCCCACTTGTCAGGCCATAGTAGTTGCCTTAATAAATTAAAAACTTCCCTTCCCTCCGCTATTTTGAATTCCGTCTCACCATTCCAGAACTTCTCCATCGCTACATGTATCCTTCTGCTGCTTTCCTCATCTGGCGAGATCAGATCAATACCTTTCTTGAGAAGAAGCTTGGCGATTGGCTCATGCTCGTTGTCGCATGCCATATAGAAGCCTGTATGGCCATCCTCATCCATGATGCCAATAGCTGCGCCTCTACCAAGAAGCAACTGAACGATCTCTTCGTACCCTGCTGCGCAAGCCTCATGCAAAGCTGGTTTGCCGTTCTCGTCCTGGGCATCAGTAGCTGCGCCTCTATCGAGAATTAAACGGACGAGCAATTCTTTCCTCTAACGGCATGACTCTTGCAAAGCTGTTTTTCCATTGTTGTCCTGTATATGCACAGCTGCGCCTTTGTCGAGCACTAACCGGGCGAGCGATCCTGTCCCCCAAATGCGTGCCAATTGCAAAGCTGTACGGCCATCCGAGTATAGGATGCAAAACTGCCCTGCCATATCTATCCCCTGTGTCAAGAACTTCTTTGTCGATTATCACATAAAAATAACTTCCCTTCTTTTCTCGCTAATCCTTCCGAGCGCAAGATGTAAAGCTGTGTCCCTAGATCTATCCTGTATACCGACAGCTGCACATCTGTGTAATAAGTAGACGATTGATTCCGGGGCTGCTATATGCAAGATCATAATCAATGGTGTCCTATGGATTGATTTCAGCGCCTTGATTCAAAAGTAGCTGAATGATATTTTTATGACCGGACTTGGTAGCCTCAAATAGTGCTTTACTCATATCAATGTCTGCATCATGCTGCAGTAATAACTCAACAATCCTTCTGTGCACTTTACGAGATGCCATCCTAAGCGCTGCTGTTGCGTCTCTCGCGAAGGTAAGGGATGTGTCGTCGGCTACCTCAATGAGCCTCGTAGTAATACCTTCGAGCCCTAGTACCACACTGGCGCATAAAGGAGTTGGAATAGAAAAAGAATCATGGTATGGCCACAAAATGCATGCTTTGGCCCAAGATTCGAAAGAATCATCGTCGCTGCTGAAAAGTTGGAAGACTTGCTCTTCAAGGCGATGGCGGTTGGTAGTCGTGTCGACGCGACGAAAATGGTCCGGCCAATTTCGGGCTGCATATGTTGTTAGAGGTGCTTTACGAGGATCTGATATCGGTACCGTCAGATCTAAAAAGAAAGAGAGGCAAATGCTAGTCATCAGCGTATTGGCATCCTGTGGCTTGATACTGATGGCTGTTGCATCACTATCCTGGAGGATACGGTCTGACTCCAAGTACTCCCGGACAGAGAAATGAGCGAGTCGTGCCGTTTTGTTGTCTGAGATATAAACAAAGCCGGGACAGGCTTCATGTATAGCGTTGACGTCTTCAAGCTTACGCTTTGCGTTGAATCTAGGGTTATCCTCTGGATGAAAGGCAACTGCAACGGCGAGCTCTTCCACCGTAAGTGGCCGCTCAGCACAACAGAGTAAGGCCAGTATTTGTCTAGCATACTCTCGGTAGTCATGGGGAATTCTACTGAGCATGCGAGCATACGTTTCGTCGAGTGTTGGTGGCAACGATTCCAGCCGCTTTTCAAGGAGGTCTTCGCTTCGTGGGCAGCTGGCTAGTTCCTTGAACTGGCATTCAACCCAACGAAAGCTGGTATAGAATAGTTTAGCATATTGACTGACAGTGGTATAAGGTTATGACTGGTTGACTTACACGCCTTGAGCACCCTTTGTCAATGCCTCCTCGATTTGCTTATGGTATGCCTCCCACTTGCGAAGGCGTCGGTTTTCCTTTAGGTGCTGGGATATGAAACTCTCAATATCTCGATCAACTGACTCATTCTTCATCCCAATCACTTCCTCGGGTTTCGCCTCTAGACTCTCTGTAATGTCAGGCTCATCTCTGCTCGACACAACAAGGTGCAGTTCAGGTTCTGGCAAAGCGCGTAGTTCAGTTATGATGCCGAGCGCTGTCTCGCGATGCGTATCTTTTGGACTTTCATCCAAAGCGTCTGTGACGATATAAACGTCATTGAAACCTTGAATTAACTGACGAAGGCAGTATAAAAGAGCTTTTCGAGGGGGGGCAGCAGTAGGGTATTCGTCGTGGAGTCGGGAGAGAACGCTGTGATTGCCATTGGCTTGGCTCGATAGTTGCAGTATCAAGGTCCGCAGCATTGCATAAGCATCTTGTTTGCTTTGATCATTGAAAGTGAAGTAAAAATAGGCGATGCCGATATGTGGGTTGCCTCTACGGTATACCAGAGCAGCTCTGATGGCTGTAGAGCAGAGAACAGATTTTCCACATCCTGCAAAGCCAACCAGCCAGAGGAATGAATGAGGCGTTTCAAGCCAGGAAGTAAAAGCAGAGCCTTTGATGAGCCAGTTTCCTGTGTTGGGGTGCTTCTTTTCTGCAGCTTCATTGAAGTCGATAGAGGCATCTGGAGCTTTAAGCCAGGCGATGAGAGTCTGTGAAACTTGGCTAGCTCGTGTTAGATGCAGAAGGGCCTTGGTGTCCCCGAGGTCGCTCAGGATTTGATCAGTATCATCCCTCTCAAGCACTTTTAGAGCAAAAGATAGATCTTTGGTGAGCGTATCTATATTCTCATCCAGTTTCTGCAGTGTGCTCCGTCGTAGGGGGTATACGAGGCGTCGGCCAGCTGTCCGTAACTCGAAATGCGCTCCTGCGTGTTTAGTTGAACGGAACCTGTCTAGTTCACTCTCGAGCTCCTTGATGAGTTCTTTGACATCTTCTATATAGTCGCGTATGATGCCGAGATCTAGGTCTTGGTTGGCAGGCGAGGCGGGCTGCGTATCAAAGATTCGTTTATCGAGGGTCTGTTTATGGAGGGCCTGAAGCACCTTGAGAAGCCGTCCAAGCCTGTGTGTTGTGAATAGTAGGTCGGAGCTCTTGTCACGAAAGCCATCATAATAGTCGATCTTTATGAGCCACCTCAATCGGTGTGATTGTATCGGCAGATCGTCCTGGCTTGGAAACAAGCACTTCATCAATCAACATACCCATCAGAATCTTGGTCGGTCCTCGCACAGGCCTAGTCTCGATATGCTTTCAAAATCTGGTCTGAGGAGTGTCAGTGAAGGATCTGTGTCACACGAGCATTGACATACAATTTGTGAACTTCAGGCGATGAGCCATTCCCGACATATAGGTCATGAACAGAGGTTCTCTGACGAAAACATGTGAAATCAATCTTTCAACTCGGTATGCCCTTTCTTTTTTCGATTCATCGCTTGTCACAGGAAAGCTGTGACCCTCTATGGCTTGGTCGACGATGCTAGCAATGTCAACGTCATCTCTCTTCGTTCCTTTGCCAGCTCAAGCAAACATCTGCAGCATTCCAAATTGGCATTGACCTATTCATGAGCTGGTCACATGTTTATCTATGCAGGCTGAGAACCCGCCAGGAATCGTGTTACTGCTCGTCCGTTCCAATGGTTGCATGACCGAGCGAGCGTTCTGCGTTCTGATTACTTCGGTTCTGGGTGCAACTGAAGAGCTTGGGCTTTCTCGAGTTAAGTTTGTCGAGCTCCTGCCTTTGAATTCCAAACTGCTCTTTGTCTTCTCTATCTCACAAGCTTCTTCATAGAACTTTCTGCTGTTGCAATCTCATGTAAAGTCATGCATACAAGAAAAGATGGTTATTTAATATCTCTCTGTTCTGCATCTTTTGATCGAGTCGAGTCTTGACGCCTGGTAGCAGTATTATACTTCTACTACATTACATCCGTACCAGGCTCTACTCAGCCCGGTCACTAGTACATTTTTTATATGGTCGAACTCTTCTGTAGCTATAATAGTAACTTATAGATACTCTGCTCACTAACCAAGTAGCCTACCGAGATCGACAAATAGTAAGTTATGGTAAAGGGATATGATAAGAAACCCTGTTTCAATATGCTCTTGTATTAGTTACTCTATACACCATGCCTATGTCATTCAGACTAATTAAAAACCAGCAGTCAAGTATAAATAGCCAGCCCTGCCAAAACAAAAGAAATCTCTTCATACACAACCCTGAACTCCCATAAAAAGAAAAACAACGTCCGTGTCATACAACACGCTGATCCATTAATCCTTCTGATGCTTACCACACAGCTTGAGGCGTTTGGATTCTGTCTTGTTCGCCTCCAAAGCCTGTAGCCGACTCTATCTTCGCTTCTTGACATTCCCATCCGGAAGAAAGTCTTGGGAAACACGATAATCGTCTCCATCGATTGTCTCTGGCCTCCAGGTCTTGCCACGCTTCTTGACAGGCTTACACAGCCAATCAAGCGCCTTACAGAGCAGCCGGGTCTGCAAACAATCAACAAGCGCCTCGTGGTTTCCGCCCACTAGCTTATTCCCAGGGAACATCATCGGGGGAAAATGTCAAGTTTTAGAGGAAATTGTTTCCTCGGCTCTAGCTTCGGGAGATGCGGACGGAAGAGCTGCACAAGGGGAATGCAGTTGTCGTCGCTGGGCAGAAGATTCTTGTATCCACCCTTTTCCAGGAAGCCCCTTACCAGTTGCAAGTCCTTACAGCTCAAGGCCCAAACCAAGATAAGCGAGTCAGGCGTAATACCTGACTTCTGGATTTTTTCCGCGATCTCACGAACTCCTAATCTTGACAAGTTCCGCTTGGCCGAATAGACCTTTGCCTCATGTCCCTCGCTTGTTTTCAGGAGCCTCTTCGAGTAGAGGGATCTCTGGAGAAGTCAATATGTCTAATACCTTGCGAGTGTTCAACAAGAGTGTTGATAAGCACGTCTCCAGAGTCGAAATCGATGAAGGAGAACTCCATTAGCTGCTGACCAGCTATGGTGTATTCTGTATCTAGGATGAGCGGTTTGATGTCTGGTTGGTTCCCTTTTCTGATCTCTTCGAGTCGTTGCTTGACTCGTTCGTAAGATGGCTGAGCACTCCATCTCTTATGCAATGTGCGCCCAAAGATTTCTCTTAGCAAGTCCATGTCAACGTTTCGCTTGCTAGACGACTGAAACGTCCGCAATATAATGGATTCTCTCTTCTCAGCAGAACATACTGCGCATGTGGTATCGAGCACAATATCCTTGGATCCATTCTCGCGCCTCGTCTGTCTTAAACGAGCTGTGTCAAAATCGATAGTCGCACCGAACGGGCATGGTTTTGTGACAATGTATTGTGTGTTGATACCAGGCCCAAGACACGTACGTCCTCTTGCATGTAAATAGACTTTTTGGTGCTTGTGGTTCTCTGTTGCATCAAGGGTTAGTTGCTTGACTTGAATGAAACGAGCGGTATCGGACAAGCATCACTTACCCCAGAATTGCGTATTCTGGGCCAACATTTCGCCGCGCTGCTTCTGTGAAAAATACTCGCTGGAGTTCTCTTGTAGTAATCCCAAGTCGTAATCTTGTTCGAATGAGGTAGAGCTCTCTTCCATCAAATCGAGTTCATTGTCCTCTTCCATCAGGTCGAGGCCATCGCCTTCTGTGTTCTCGACATCTGGATCGGTAGTCATCGTGGGGTGCACTCCGTTATCTTTGCCACGGTTGAAAGATTCAAAAGAAGCCAGCGAATTGACTTCGTAAATAGCTTCATAGAGCGGAGAACTCTTGAACGGTCGCGGTTCTCCGCGTTCATACGACGGCTCCGAATTAGCAGGGACATGTTCAAGTCTTGCGTGGTTTTCCCAATGATCTTTCAGCTTGCTCGGCTTCATTACATGTCCCATCGCGGCCGTGCGGCAGTCTGGGGCATTACACATGTAAAAGACTCCGACTGAGTTGTGCACTTGCCTTTCCGCGTGTTTCAACGCTTCATGGCAGGTTTTGAACCTTCGCTCGCACCATGAATAGGGGCAGGGAAACGGGTGTGTATGAAGTTCCCCATGCCTTCCTCTCGATTTAACGTCGTAGAACGTCTCGCTGCAATACTGGCACACAACACTTTTGTTGTGATCTCTGTTTGACAGATGTCTTTGTGCCTCATCAAACGTAGGAAACATCATTGAGCATTTGTCTCCCTCGGGAGCGGGGCAGGGATACAAGTTGCTCATTCCATGACTCTTTCCATGCTTCCTTGCATCTACTGGTGCAGAGAAGTCCTCATCACAAGCTTTGGAAGGGCATGGGTATCGATGCCCCTTGTGCGCCTTCATGGAGTGTTTGTCCGCGCCGGTCTGGTCCGTATAGGTCTTTGGGCAGTTTAGTTCCTCCTTCAAAGGACATGGGAACATTCCGTCATCCTCTGCGTCTTCAGATCCATGTTTCTGCTTGGCGTGACGTTCTGCCAAGCACTTGCGGCGAAACGTTTCTTCACAGCCCAACTCCTGTTTTTTCGGACATGGAAAGACCTTGCGCTGATTATCATGCTTCTCCCTAGCATGTAACTTAGCATCCCCCTCTCGGCTAAAGTCTGCATCGCATCCTAGATCTTTTTTTCTCGGACATGGATATCGCTGGTCAGGGTTTTCATGTTTTTTGATGTGTAATTGTAGGGCAGCTGTGCTTCCGAAGGGTTGCTTGCACCCCGGCTATGGGCACTGGTATGACCTTCCTCGATGAACACAAGCAACATGTTCCCTTAACCCATTATGCGATATACATTTCGAATCGCAATCGTTTGAGATGGGACAGGGTATCGGGCCTGTCTTGTGCTTGCGCACCATGTCGAGATGTTCAACAGTAGCTGTCACTGTCAGAAAAGTTTCTTGACAAACGGCTGTTCCAGAACCCTGGGAATAGTGGCAAAGATATCGCCCTTCTTCATTTCGATGGACCGGGTCTGCATTATGGAATATTATCAGATGGGTCGAGGCCTCCGCTTGTGTCTGGAACGTCTCATCGCAATCGCGGAACGACCCATACTGGCACGGAAATATCTATAAGAGAGCCAAAAGGTTAGTATCATCGATATCTTGGTCAAAACAGCAGATTTACGTACTTTTGACTCCATACTCAAAAGGGATGGAAAAGCTCGTACGGCGAGTTCAGGGGCTTCGACCATGCCGCAGATGGTTCGGTTCCAAACCGATTCAGGTTTCCTTATTCGCACTTAGGAACATAAAACGAAGATCAAAAGATGATAGGAAGACGAGGATTTCAGAGAAAAGTGCGAGTGCCGCAGATAAGTACAATTATTTTATGAGCGGTGCTACGATGCATGAGGGAGCAGTTACATGCAACTGTTGGTAGCTGCCGGCAGCGGCCAGCCTTCGTCTGCCACCGGTTTCAGTCCGCTTTGACATTAATACCTATCTAAACACATAGAGCTATTGCTTTTGACAATGTGTATATGTTAAATACACCCTGTAACCTGCAAAGGAAAGTAAGACAAGCAAGCTGTAGACTTGGGTACAAACAAAAAGCGTTTCTCTTTGTTAAGTGAGTACCATGATTTCAGAGCTGGGTGAATGTACTTAGGCTGGTCCGAGTGTTTGTATAATATCTCGCTTTGAATCCGAAGTATTCGCGATGCAGTTTCCACGGACAGACTGCGAGTACTATACAGTGAAGGTATTCCCAGATGGGGGTTTCAATCTACGATGACTCGCTTTGGTGTTGGGGGGCAACTCTCCAATCGGGGACTATCAAGTGTGCCCCCAGATCGATGTCTCTCATCAAATCGAAATCTAAAATCTCGTACGTTACTGCTGAATATCCTGCAGTTGGTATTTCATACACATGCACAAAAAGAAATCTCGTACAGCTGTTCAATTAACTCCCAAGGTTTTAATCTATATTCTCTATTGCAAACCGCCTTCAGCCTTCTTCTGCTTCTTCTCTAAAGCCTTCTCAATAGCCTCCACCCGCTTGTCAATCTTTTGGAACGACCAGCCTTGGAAGGCAGGTGGGTAGAACAAAGGGCGAAGGTCAAATCTGTGGTCGTCGGGCGAGTAATCTTCCCTGGGTAAAAGTCAACATCTTCAACACAATACAAGATTCAAGAGGCCCGCTTACACATGAACAGCTGGTGTTGCCACAGCTTGTTTGTGGCTACATCTTGTTAGTAAAAAAACCATTTCTCAATAGGAATATTGCTTACCGGTTAATGTAATGGAAATGGTAGAAACGCTTCACCTTGGTGGCGATTTCTCGTGGGCTCAGTTTGCCCTCTCCGCCCCATTCTTCGACAAGTCGTAGGAACATGCCGTAAGGTCCTAACTTACTCTCCTTACGTAGTCGCTGCAACAAGGTGTCAGTTTCATCGCAATGCTGGCTTTGGTCCGTAGCTGGTTCACTTACTCCAAAACGAGATAGTTCGTCATAGGTCATGCCCATATCAACTGCGGTTACGTCAATAAGTTAACTTACAACAGGAGATGATCACTTACTCTCGTCTGACTGAACATAGTTTTCGGTGATAGGCTCTAGCTCAGCCGTGGCTATGTTGGTGTTAGTCGTCTCGTGACCCAACCAGCGTGATAGATTTCGTACGTGTAGCATGAATAAACTCTTCCAAAATCGGCATGTCGAAGTTCTTGGCCGCCCATGAAATGAAACTCTTGAGATCCCTTTTGCTAACAGCACCCAGAGGGTTCAAGTCCGCACTACTACAATCGTACTTTGTGAGGTCTGGAAGATATCGTTAGTCAACATCGCAGTACCCTTCTTTAAGGCACACTCACATCCTCGGAGACATTCGTCAACATTGCTGGATCCTAGAACAAGCAGGCTTCCTCCTCCTGGTCGCTGCCGAACTGTTGGTAGCATCTGAGCGTAGTAATAGGCGATGACCATGCGGCTGCGTGCCTGGATATTCTGAAGGGCCACTGCAAGAGTTAGTATATCACTTAAAAGGGGTTTAGCATACATTGTGTGGAGTAAAAGAACGTACAGTTTTCAGTCGCTGATCCACCATGAACCTTGAATTTAGGCTCGAATCCCGTGCCTTGAGTGAGCAAGTTCTTGGTAGCGTGGAAGGTATCGTCAATGTTCATGTCAGTGTGGTAACTACCGATACGCTCGGCAAGGTCCTTGGCGCGCTGTCGAGTCTCCTTGCTGCTCTGCTTCTCCATCCCCATATAAACAGTGTGGAAGATCTGGTTGCAGAAATCCTCAGGGGTTTCAGGCAGCTTATCCGAAAATACAGCAATTCGCTTGACGTCGGCAATCACGTCCTCGTTGCCAGCCTTGATCGCCTCAACGACAAGTCGGCACATGCTAAACACGATAGTTGCTGTCGCGCAGGAGTCAATACCTCCAGAGAGAGGTACCAAGTAACCGGACGCCCTGCTCCGCCGTACTTCAACCTATAGTTAGCATTGTGTCGGCTGCGCCAAGTGCCAACTTCTGTGTGCCACAGGATGTATCATTGGGGAACTTACGGTAATCCCAAAGCCAGCACGCGGGTCCAAGTGCCTACAAAACTTGACGTTAGCACTAGTCATCTCTATCGAACTGTCTCTTGACAGAGACAAGTCTCAAACTCTGTGAAAGACACATACGATTTCTTCCTCGGGAAGATGATACCTGGCGGCCATAGGCTTTGTTGGAGCCTTGAGAAAATCAAGATCGAGATCATCATTAGAGAGGCTGAAATCAACCTCGATTCTCTCGTACACAGGCGCTTGCGTAGCCTGGAAGTTTCGAGAAGGCGCGAAGCGATACGCACGAACGGCCTGGAGATCCACGGTTGCGGTCACAACTTCGACATCTTCCAAGCTGAATTGAGAGCCCTGAGCCACGATGTCTCCGTTGACCATAATGAGTGATGAGCCATCGTAGAGTAGCCTATCTCCATCGGAACCTAAGTGAATCGAGTCAGATAAAGCTCGGCGCGATGGTATTGGGGTAAATCACCAGATTGATTAGCGTACAGATAAACTCCACCGCTCTTCCTAGTTGCTTCAGAAATCAGAGCAATGCGCTGATCTAGTTTTCTCAGTGTGTGGTGAGAGCCAGATGAGTTGGTGAAGATTTCCGCGCCGTTGAGGGCCCTGAATGATAGTCAGCAATGGTACAACACAACCATACCAAACCGCTGGAGTTGAGCGCTCCATCGTATAGATTAGGTAGCTTCCGGTTTGAAACAGAGAAAACGTACATATTAATATGCGGCGCCTGAGGAGTAAAGAGTTCCTCGCACGTCTCGGCGGCGACAGTTGTGTCATTGAGTGACATGATAACATCACCAATAGGAACCTGGCGAACACCCTGGTGCTTCTGCAGAGCAGGCGGAAGGTTGTACTGCTCGACATATCTTGGCCTATTCCAGGGAGTGAAGAATCGGTTCTCTCTGAAGTTTCTGTCAAGTAGAGTTAGTACATGGGATCTCTGAGAATGACAACCATACACACCCATCGTTCGCAAGGTAGATCTTGGGACGAAGGCACAACAGCTTTCCATCCAGCAGAAGAGCCCGGCAATTATATCGACAGCCCCTGTGCATGATAGGAAGGCCAACGTCAATGAGAATACCATGGAGCTCAGTGTCAGTCAAGATCTCGGACAGTGACTCCAAGGAATGATCGTAGACATCGGCCTCGAGGAAATGGTCAAGACTGTTGACTTTTGTCAGCATATTCTCTCTGTAAATATAACAACATGGGTTCTGTACCAGCCATAGCCAGTTATCTCGAGCTCCGGACCCGTTCTTAGAGTAGCTCCGGCTTCCTTGGCCTTGATGATACTCTTGCGGATTCTCCCCAGGTTGCCCTCCCAATCCAAAACCCATTGGTTGAGAGAACACGTGGCCAAAGTGATGAGATTCGCCATCTTGAAGAGATGATGCTTTTGAGGTAGCACCGATCTGTCGATATCCAATTGACGCTGTGAAAAGATCTCGAGGTTGATGACTGAGAAGAGATCGAGGTGGGGTGAGTCTTAGGTATGCGCGGGGTAGTCTAGGAGCTTGCGATAGCGGCAGACACGACACGCTCACTGCACTTTATGAGTCGTTTACTTTCAAGCTTTTTTAGCATTACAGGGTTGCCTCTTTGGCTTTTTAGAACAAAGTTACTGAAACTTGTATTGACTCATGACAAGCTTTTTAGTCCAGCATGTGCATTGTAGCTAATCTGATTACATTATGCTTCAATCAATCCTATGATGCAAGTGTCTCATAATGACTTTCTCATGCCCCACCAGATCTTAACCATAACAATCACCAACAAGCTGTACAATAGTCTCACTTTAGCACATGGACCATTTGAATGTACTCATGAGTTCATTATCATTTCATTTATTTCGAGGCTCGGCCTTTCCCTGATTGAGCCTTAATGTGAAAGTAGAGATACATGAGCGATCTTATAAACGCCTGCTTTTCTATTCTACACCCCTCGACCGTTTTATCATCTAAATAATGTTACACATGAGATTATATAGTACATGATTACATTTGACTCTCCATCACTCTCACCTACTATATCCCCCCTTGGCAAGCGCCTCCTCAAACATAGACTTGCAGGGAACCTTGCTACCCAATTTGGCACACAGGAGGAACGCACCGCTAAGCTTTCGGTGCAGGCTATATGTCTCTTCTGGTGGAGGTGCAAGTCGCTCGTGAAGCATGACAGGGATGAGAGCCTTGACACGCTCTGTGATGGTCTGGTCTTTAAAGTCATAAATATCGGGTGCGCTGGCAAGGAAAGGCTCTGCAAGTGTAAGGACAGACTTTGTATGTGCCTCAACCATGGTGCGACTCTCATGGCCGGTCAGGTAACCTAAGCTCTCTGACAACTCCTTGACAGCGGCCTTGTCCGATCGAGAAGCCGCAGCGAGAAGCTGCACATATTGTGTGACGAACTCGTCAGGATATTCGCGAGAAGCACCAAAATCGAGCAACTCGAGTTTGTTGACATCTGCGTTGTAGAGAAAGTTTGTCCAGTTTGGATCTGTCTGCATAAAACGGAACTCGGTGATCTCACGGAGACAGAGGCGAAGGATCTGTGTACCGATCCAGTCACGTTGCTCCTGGGTAAAAGAGGTGATGCGAGTCACGCCGATACCATCCATGAAGTCCATGGTCAGGACTTGCTTACCCGATGCCTCGGGATAAACATTCGGCACCATAAAAACATCCTTCTCGCTTGAACCGAGAAGCTCCCTGTAGCGTTGTGCACACTGAAGCTCACGTTCATAGTCACATTCCCAGCCAAGCTCCAATCGCGCATTGTCGATGGTTTTGTTCAGGTATAGACCTCGGGGGAGTAGCTTGGTAGCGGTGAGGAGAATGCTCAGGTTGTCGAGGTCCGAGTTGATCGAGTCAGCGACCCCAGGGAATTGAATCTTGACAGCGACTCGCTTGCCGTTTTTTAATGTAGCCTTGTGAACCTGCCCGATAGAAGCAGCAGCGATAGGCTTCTCTTCGAAATCGCTGAACAGCTCTCTCCACTCAGGGCCAAGGTTTGCTACCAATACGCGATCACGCTGCCAGGCAGGCATGTAATCAGCGCGATCCTGAACACGCTGGAGAACCTGTTGGATGGGGGCAGGTAGCATCTTGGTGTCCTGGAAACTCATCATCTGGCCAAGCTTTAAAGCAGCACCACGCATGCGCGAGAGCTTCGCAACCAGGCGTTCCATGTTCTTCTCGCTTAGAAGTACAGATCCCTCACCACCACCGCCAAAGGCTCGGCTGAAGCCTTCGGTCATGGCGCCTCCCAACATACCTGCTGCAAGACCACTGTAGTTCCAAATTCGGCTAATACGGGATGAGGGGACCTTGGACTCTCGTAGAGCATAGGGAGTCTCTGAGGGTGTTGCTGACTCCCCAGCAATCTCTCTTGCAGCTTGAATGACATCCTCGTCGATCTTTTTGTCGGCTGTAGGGGCTACCGGAGTGGCCTTTTCTGGTTCAGGCACGGTGATTTCCTCCGTCGGCTTCTGCTCTAGAGGCTTCTCCTCCAACGGCTTCTCTTGCACAAACTTCTCGGCCACGGATTCCCTTTCAACTGGCTCTACATGTTCTACGGGTTCCGCAGGTTTGGCCACAGGTTCTTGAGGTTTTATAGGCTCACCTTCATAGCTCTCCTCGGGGGGTGGAGGGGGCGGAGGCCAGTCTCGCATAGGATGTGGCTTCACAGGGCCTCCAACTCCGGGGCGTGCAGGCGGCGCTCCAGGTCGACCTTGCTTCCGTAAAGAGTCGAGAACTTTGGAACCTCTCGCAGTATGAAAGATATTGACGTCGATTCCAGGTGGTAGATCAAGGTCATCCTCTTTCGCCGGCTCCGACGTAGACTGTTGCTGTGGGCTCGGTCTGAGGTTGGGCATCGGGCTACTGAAGGGCGCTCTCTCGGTTCTCGTAACTTTCGGTGGGAAATTTTGTTTCGGTGTTTCGATTATAGGTTCCGTCTCTCGTGCTGCCGGCGCAGCTTGCTCGTATACGACCTCATCACTCGTCCCCGTAGCATTCTGTGCTTTCTCCCCCGTCGGTGAGCTCCTTTGAGCATTTCGCTTTCTCAATGCCGCAGCAACACTCGAAGTTCGGCTGTAGGTGTCGATCTGGCGACCTCGAAGCGCGATATGCTTGGCGGCGACACCTCGAGAGGCATTGAGCACTGCGGCAAGGTCGATTGCGAAGTCGACGAACCTCATCGGGCGTATACGGCCTCCTCGGACCAGAAGCACATTGAATGGAGGTGATTGATATTGTCTGGCTTGCTGGGCGTCGGCTGCCAGCTCGGTTTGGTGGGTTGGTGGTTCCAAGGTTCAACAAAAAAAGTCCATGATCTAATCGATGGGTCATGCAACTAAGGGGGTTCGTTGTAAATGGCCTCATCTGGGAGATCCTCAGGGAGTAAGAAAACTTCTGGCCTTCAATTAGGGTGCCAAAAATGACTACCTGTTCTAAAGGACCACTAAATTAGCCTAAACTTACCTAAGTCTTTTTGTCTCTTAGGACATAGGTCTGAAGTTTTATTGCCTCCCCTAGCAGATGTAGGAACTAGACAAACTATTCGATCAAAAATTAGAGGAATGCTTATTTGCATTCTAAAACCGATTTGCTTTATCCTGTAAATAATCCAGAGTTTTTGCGCTTCTCTTTTGAGCCGCGGCAGGTATCAAAGTAAAGTTATGTAGCGCCAACACAACACCATGCCATAAAAAACATGAGGGCAGTAACAAGTCATATCGTAAACAAGAATTACACTTTAGAAGACATATAGGAAGTGCGAGAAGCCCCGGATCCTGTCACCGCGGCACCTCAATCCAGCCGTTACTTCTTTCCAGATGTTGAGCCAGGTCTCTTCACTGATCTCAAGAGTGATCCTCTTGGGGTCATAGGTTTAGAATTTCCAAATGAGCTCCCACTCGATCCTGGCCCAGGTGTGCCAATCTTACTCCAGAGTCTCTGTGCCGCTGGTGTGAGTCCTCCATTGACCCGAGGACTACTTGGAAACTTTGGAACCGGCGTCTTGTCAACTCTCCCTGTGAGTCCATTCCTTGAGGATTCCTTCTTTGACTGAGATATCCTCTCCACCATGCGTTCGTGTAGACTTTCTCTGTCACGCTGCTCTTGTAGGCGAAAGGGGTTTGGTGCCGCATCTCCCGGACCTAGGTTGATAATAGGAGCAGGGAGGATTGGCTCGTCTTCATCATCCTCATCGTCCACAAAAGCATACCCATTAACTCTTGGTGTATCGCCTCCGCTAATGATACTAGAGTCTCGGTCGTCTTTCCGAGGCTTGCCGGCGATGGCGTCCCGCACCGCTGACATGGTTGGAGATGGCGGCCTTGGTGTGATGCGCGGTTGTGGCATTCTCGTGTTCTCGTAGACTATTGACTTTGGAGCCATCCTTGAAGATTCTTCAGCCTTCTGAGAAACAGTGAGGACGCCATCCTCTACTCCGTCAGGTCTGAACATCAAGTTGTTTCGAGGATTGGCAATCCAGGAATCTGGACGAGCTGGACGGTCATCTTTGTCCTTTATGGCAAGCAAATCCTTCTTGAATCCGTCATCAATGAGGCTTCGGGTTTGGCTCAGTCGATCCTCAACCTCCTTCTGTTTGATCATTTGCTTTGATGGTAGTTTGTTACCACGCCAAAGCCAGGCGTACTTGTCGGCCTTTTTCTGATTCTGTTTGTCAACAAGCTTGTAAAAGCTTTCATTATCCTCGCTCGTGTAAGTATCTTGAAATTTTGTTAGGCTCATGTTGGCTCCTAGCCGTGGTTGCGGGTCCGGAACATTAGAGGTAACTGAAGCTGGCGTATCACCTCCATATGCTGAAGGTGTCCGGTCACCAGCAGTGAAGGAATTTGGTTGTGATGAGAGAGGTGCACTTCGGCGTCCAGGTGTCATAACATGTTGCAGTCTTCGGCCTGCACTTGAGATCCAGGCGGAATCCTTTGACTCAAGCGCATCCAGATATTCTTGCTGTATCTCAGTTTGTAGAAGTCCTGGGAAGAAGTCCCGGGCGATAATTTGTGATAGTGTTTCTGTGTAGGTATCTTCGTCAAGTACCTTCTTGGGTCGTTTTATCTTTTTAGCTTGAGGAGGCGGGGGCATCAAGTCTGTGTCTGTCCGCTTGCGTACCAGCGCATTTGAGGCCCCTGACCCTGATGAGTCCATGATGGGCCAACCCTGGGCGCAAGGCGCGCACCAGCCGTGGGAAGTTCACTATCAGTGCCGCGTCGTGTTGTCGAGTTGCGAGATGCCGCTGGGCGTGTTTCAAATATCAAGAGTTGAGTCTTTTAGATATGAGTTTGATTTGTGTCTGTTGATTGTGACAGCTTTGTCTGAGGTTCCAACAATGAAGAAGTGGGGCCGAGATCTTGATATGCAACTAACCGATCTCCGATTCGGCCAAGGCAGCCCAAGTATTTCTGTGCATAATATCTAGGTACCATTCTTACCTAAGGTAACTTTTTGAATAACTTCTGGAAACCTCAGGTTAACTCCCTAGAGTAAGCCGTGTATTACTCGAAGCTTTAGGAGTACCATAATAGTCTGGTGATCAAAAGTAGGAAAACTTCGGCTTGGATTGCAGAAACGTAGCACAATAATAAGAGACGATCTATTCCCTTTCGCATCCGAGGCTAGGCTCCAATGCAGCAACACACACATTGGTGTTGGTGGCGATTGATAAAGATTCCCCAACTTTAGGCGCGTGGTCACGCTAGACATTGCTGATTTGCGCCCAGCTGCGATCGCTTACAGGGGCATTCTAACCTATCACAAAGGTTGAAAGCCCTGAAGCCTTGCCCGTTAAGCCCGCCCCGCCAGGCGTTCTAGGTTCGTCTTCATGACGCCGGCAGCGGGGAGAAACTCCACCGAAAAGCCGCCCTCCATCAACGTCCAAAACTTCTTTCCACTTCCTCACATTGTGGAACCAAGCCTTTTTGGCAGATTGTCTCGCTTCTTTGGCATTCCACAAGCTTATTTCTGAATCCTTCCTTTCATAATCCACTTCTTCTATCTTTGCGACTGACTTCAGCGGTTGTAGCTGCGCTCGGCGCAAAACAAACAACAGAACCCCTCCCCCTCCTCTACCTTCGGTCTCTTTCTGTGCAGCCTACTTCTTCGCCGAATAAAACGCTGACTTCGCAAAATGGCTGTCGAACTCAAGAATAAGGGCAACAAGGCCTTTCAATCGGGAGATTATCCCAGTGCCGTAGACTTTTACACCCAGGCTATTCAACTCAACGACAAGGAGCCTACATTCTTCACCAACCGAGCTCAAGTGCGTCACTACCACTATAATATCTTCACCCAGAACCTTTCCTGACTTTGTACTCCAGGCATACATCAAAACTGAAGCCTACGGTTACGCCATTGCCGACGCTACAAAGGCCATTGAGCTCAACCCTAAACTTGTCAAGGTTCGCACAAGACCTCAGACGAACCGGACGAAGAGGCGTTGAAATGTTAACGTTTGTTAGGCGTACTACCGACGAGGACTGGCCAAGACTGCGATCCTCCGACCCAAGGACGCCATTGACGACTTCAAGACATGTGTGTCTCTCGACCCCAACAACAAAGATGCCCGACTCAAGCTGGAAGAGTGCAAAAAGATCGTCCGTCAGCTAGCCTTCTTTGCGGCGATCGAGGTCGGCGATGAGCCTTCTGCGGCTGAGGGTCTCGATCTGGACTCCATGGTTGTTGAGCCAGGATATGATGGTGTGCGATTAGGCGACGAGATGACACAAGAGTTCATCGACGATATGATGGAACGTTTCAAGACGGGCAAGAAGATCCACCGGAAATACGTCTACCAGATCATTATTGCGGTCAAGAAGCTCGTATACGACGAACCCACCATGGTTGAGGTCGAGATTCCTAGCGACGTGAAGCTCACTGTCTGTGGTGACACTCACGGTAAGAAAACTTGTCGGTCATGGGTTTGCCAAGCTAATTCACCACTTCAGGTCAATACTTCGATCTTATGGAGCTGTTCCGCCGTAACGGAACCCCCGACGAGAAGCACTGGTATCTGTTCAACGGTGATTTCGTGGATCGAGGTTCTTGGTCTACTGAGATCGCGCTGCTCCTCCATGCTTACAAGTGGCTGCGACCTAACCAGTTCTTCTTGAACCGTGGTAACCACGAAACGGATGACATGAACCGTGTCTACGGTTTCGAGGGCGAGTGCAAGGCCAAGTATAACGAGCGGTAAGTTTCGTGAACCATGTATCCATATGACGGTACTAATTAGGTATGAAGGGTCTTCAAGCTGTTCTCTGAGAGCTTTTCTGCTCTTGCTCTGGCCACTCTCATTGGCAAGAAGTACCTTGTCCTTCACGGAGGTCTTTTCTCTGATGACAGCGTCACTCTTGACGATATCCGAAAACTCAACCGACACAACCAGCGACAGCCCGGTCAAGCTGGTTTGATGATGGAGATGCTCTGGACCGACCCCCAGGAGGAGAACGGCCGAGGACCCAGCAAGCGTGGCGTCGGTATGCAGTTCGGTCCCGACATCACCAAGAAGTTCTGTGAGAAGAACGGCCTTGAGGCTGTTATTCGAAGTCACGAGGTTCGCATGGACGGTTATGAGGTGCAGCACGATGGCCGCTGTATTACCGGTAAGTTATTATGGGTATCTTTGTTGAACTTTTGCTGACCTTTCCTCTAGTCTTCTCTGCCCCTCGATACTGTGACTCAACAGAAAACAGGGGTGCCTACATCAACATTGGCCCCGACTACAAACTCCAGTACGAGCAATTTGATGCTGTGCCTCATCCCGACATCAAGCCTATGGTGAGTGGCCCTCGTTACCCAACTCGTAACTCCCAATACTGATCAACTGCTAGGCATATGCGCAAAGCTCTCTCATGTCTTCTCTGATGTAGAAAAAACGGAGAGCCTTTAGAAAGCGACACTGGCGGCGATTTCACAATGTATTCAGGTCCTGGGCGTCTGGAAACGGTGCATTTGCAGGGTAGGCCGATGGGCGATGTACATGCATACATTTATACCCCCATCTACGGATAGATGAGATGACAAAATGAGGTTCCAGTTGAATGATGATAAATATGACAAAATGCCACTCTTCAAGCATTCCATAGTCGATCTTGTCCGTCCGCTCCAGCCATGGCGCCTAGCCATTCTGAGCATTGTCGTAGTTGTAGGCTTACTTGCTCGCCATTGTCGTTTGTGCCTTTCCATGCTGTGATGGCTGCTGCAAAAGAGCCGAGGTCTGGTCTTGGAAGACGGACCCAGGCATGACTGTTTTCAACTTTGAGAATATCGATAGAAATTGCCGTTCCTGTTATTCCTAGGAATTGACGGAGGGCAGCTGTGCAGTAGCTCTTTAGCGAAAGATTGTCAAATGTGACAGATGATGAACTGCTGGGAGCATCTGTAATAAGCTGGAGGTGTGCATATGAGAATGGCGGTTCCTTGATTGTGCATGTAAGAAGGTCGTGAGACTTTTCGAGATCCTTCTGTTGAAATATTGTCTTTTGGCTTCCTTGGCTTGAGTTTTGAGTCATTTTGAATCGAATAGAAATAACAAGATGGTTCTTTGATGGTAAAGTTGATCTATCTTCAATCCAAGATTGAAGTTTGAGTGGATATCGCAGTTATTGCATACACTGCTTAAATGCATGACAGCTCTTCATCGCCGCCTTTGTCACGAACTTATTCTACATTTCAACAACCACTCTCCACGACCAAGATCTTTCGCCGAAACAAAAACACTATCGACGGTATCTCCCACGAAACGCGAACCATGTCGTCTTCCAACTACGTCTCTACCGGCCAAGCGCGCTACCTACGAGCATGCATGGTCTGCTCTATTGTCATGACCTACGCCGTACGTCTTCTCTATCGCGAAAGACAAGCACGAGCCCGAGACTAACACACTGCGATTCTAGCGCTTCCGCGACGAAGGCTGCCCAAACTGCGAAGAATTCCTACATCTTCAGCACTCTCAAGACCAGATTGAGAGCTGCACCTCCCAAGTCTTCGAGGGAGTTATCACCCTCGCAAACCCGACCAAATCATGGATCGCAAAGTACCAGCGCCTCGACAGCTACGTTCCTGGCATGTACGCCATCAAAGTGTCAGGCCAACTCCCCGATGAAATTCGATCGACGCTGGAAGACGAGTATAGAATACAGTACATTCCGTAAGTCGAACTTGGACACTGGTGGGATGGACTGAACTGACTGGGTTTACAGACGTGACGGCACAGAGGCGGAGAACGATGCTTAGAAGCTATGCATTTAACTGGCTTGGAATAATTTCTTCTACTGTTTCTGGCGAAACTGGCGTTAGAGGGACTGGCATAGCAGTACAGTTTATGAAATCGTGTATGACCATTTAAAAAGTGTCGTTGTGGTATCTATGATAATAAAGCAAACGCCCTATCCATTTCTTGCGCTTAATACAATTGTACCCTTGCCATTTGTTGTAATTCTTGTAACCCGGTCCATGCTGTGAAATGATTCCTAATACCCTCAGTTGTTTCTCTGCTTCTTACCAGAGCCCATACCAAAGCTGAAACCAGCAGACTCTCTTGATCGTTTCTTCTCCATCTCCTCCTTCATTATACGTTCAGCCTCGCTCATTTTCTTTGGCTGTTCAATCTTGAGTGGTTTCTTCGATCCTGAAGAGAGGGCGTTCTTCTTGGCCTGGGCGAAAACGTTCTTGGTCTGAGGCTTTCCGCCAAGCTTCATTGAGATGCCTCCAAATCCACTGGGCTTGGCTGGCGCAGCTTCCGGCTCATTCCCTTTGTCCGTAGTTGTGTCTGCTGTCTTTGAAGATGCTGCTTCGGGGGCTGTTGGGTCTGGCGCGGGACTCTCTGATGACTTCGTTTCAGAAGCAGCTGGCTTCGCTCCAAATGAGAGCTTGATTTTCTCGCCTTCTTGTCGCTTTAGCTCTCGAGCTTCATTGTCCTCTTCTTTCTCCTCTTCTCGGCCACCGGCGGTGGCTTGCGCTCGCTTAATCTGCTCTCGAATCATTCGCTGTTCTAACTCCTCGTTGCCTTGATCCTGGGCCTCTTTGCGTCTTAATGCTTCCTGTCGTCTAAGAGCTTCTGGAGACCGGTCTATCCACGCTATGTGAATTCCCTTATCATTCTCCTCGACGCGGCAAATTCCCTCGCGGCCAAGATGTTTCGCGAATTCAGTCAAGCTGGAGCATATTAGTACATGTTGACAGCAGGACGGTAGCCATGGAAGTTGGAATCCGCTAAGGACTGTGGGCTAGCTCACCTTGCAAAAGCCGTGCTGTTCATATGTATATGTTCCTTATTGCGTATGTACTCTTGATAAAAATGGTTGATATGGACCGGCTTTTCACCGTGACCGGTCCTGAGAAGCTGAATAAAATCTGTCTGGAACTGTCGAGTGTAATTTTTTATGTGCGCCTTAGGATCTTCACCAACAATGAGCATTTGCCGAACGTGAGATTCAGACATGGTGTGCTGTTTGAATCCGTTGGCATCTCTGCATTGCTTTTCTGTGAAACAGTTAGTATTTGTTGTGAGAATAAGATGAGTGAAAACCACGATGATGAGACAGCGCAGCGTTTACTTACCGCAGACTTGACAGTACCATCTCAAACGCTGGAGACCCTTGGCCTTCATACGGTTTGCGACATATTTCGTTGATCCGACCTCGGCTTTTGGCATTTTGGCGATGTTGTTTGAAGAAGGAAGTTTCTCATGTAAAGAGCGGGTGGATAGGACGTTAAGAGTGTGGGGCCGCCTAGAAATAGGTGGGGCCGCCCGTGAATCAGATCATGCAAGCTTATTGGTGCAGCGCACTGCCTTATGCTCGCTGAGTATCAGTAAAACCATATCGATATCTTCACTCTCTGCGAGATAGGTATGCTAGGGGAGGTAAGAAACTCAAGACCTCGATCCTAAGCGACAAAAAGAATTAGGCAAGGTTATGATAACTTTAGGTGGCTACGTACTAAGTAATTTAGGATGCGAAGTTTGTTTTACTTGCTGCCCATATTCCTACAGCACCAGATTGTTTTTGTCTTTTCACGGAAACTCGATCACACAGTCCGGGTTCATGACGGATGCGTAGATCGTAGTATCACTCTTCAAATATAAACCATCTCCATCTCGTTTCCTGACTGATTCCCTTTTACACATTAAGTGCCTGCTGAATCGGGACACGAGCTGATTGGTTGCCATTGCATTATTCAGCTGGCGTTGCCCCGCTATTATCAGCGACGCTTCGCGACTGCTCAACTCCAAAACTTCATTCTTCACGATTGAACATTCACACAGCACGAATCCGGCCCTGCCACCACCGGCTGCTTTTCTCTATAATCGCGCTTCCAGATATAACTGAGCCTCATTTGAAACCCTCACTCTCCGAACTCGCCCACGATGTCGGAACGCAAAGTACTACAGAAGTACTACCCTCCCGACTTTGACCCGAGCGCTCTTCAGCGTCGTCGTGGTCCCAAGAACTCTGGACCTCGCATTCAGCAGGTTCGCATAATGTGTCCAGTAGGTCTTTACCCTCAAAGGCCCATAGTATTGCAACAAACGCTAACGTCCCTCTCTAGTTTACTATGCGCTGCACACGCTGTGGAGCCTTCTCAAATCGTGGTTTGAAGAAGAACGCTCGCAAGGAGACTCCGCCAGACGAAAAGTACCTAGGTATACAGATTGTTAAGCTTAGTTTCCGGTGCTCATCCTGCAGCTCGGAGATCATCATCAAGACCGACCCAAAGAACCAAGACTACGTTGTAGTCAGTGGAGCGGTGAGGAACAATGAGCCGTGGAGGAATCGCGCGGCTGAGGACGAGAGCGTCGAACAACGTCTGGACAGGTTGGAAAGGGAGGAAGCGGAAGCCGCAGGCGAGGAAGAATTGGACAAAATGGAAGAACTAGAAGCCAAGAACCAGGATGCTCAACGAGAGATGGCCGCCGCCGATGCCTTGGACGAAATCCGACACAGAAATGCACGCATCAACCGATCCGAGAAAGATGGTGTGGATTTTGTAGATACTATCGTACGAACAGAAGACGAAGAGAAAGAACGACAGGAAAAGGAGGACGAAGAAGCAGCCAAGGCAGCATTCGCTGCGGCACGAGCTCAGGTAGAGAGCTCTGCGAAGGTTGCTGAACCAGAAGAAATACCCATTGAGCCGCAAGCCCCAGCAACCTTCAAGAGGGCGGTTAAGAAGAAGAAGGACCATGCAGCTGCCCTGGGGATCAAAAAGAAGTCGTCATGAAGTAAATAAACATTTAATTGTAATGATGATTACAGGGTTTTCGGCGCAAGCAAGGAGTCACATTGTATTTAATTAAGCATCAAGAGAATGAAGTGTTGGATCTGATAATTCGTTCATATATCATTCCGCTAGTCGCAGCAAATAGCTAAGAGCTATATCCCTTTCCTCCACTAATGTCTGTGTGTCCCTGTTCCCACTATGTTACATTACTACTCTCGCAGCTCATAAACCCTCGACCAAACGCCTTGCATGTCGTGTTTGCTTGTAAAGAAAAAGAACTCTGAAAATAGGCCATATCGTCATATAAAAATGATCTTTTTAGGCACCAGTACGCCGGAAAGATGTGTTGCTGTTACATGAGAAAAATGTTGATGATGAGGCCCTGGCTCTGAAGGGGCTTGGGCAGCTTCGCCACCATTGACGTCGCGATTGATGTCATGCCGCAACAGCCAAGGCAGAACGACAAAACAATGAGAAATAGAACTCATGATGAGAGTGGAGTTCTAGTAATGTCGTATCCTCGTCATGATTTATGAGTAGTTGGGGCTTGTGTGGCCGTTTGTCATGCCAGACGAACGGGCGCGCTGAGCAGTAGCGTTGGTTGGGGGTGGGCTAGCACCGGAAGCCTCCATCTGACGCTTTGTGTGGTCGTGCATGAAGCGGGAATAGCTTGAGAGGTTTGTAGGAGGAGGGGGAGACATGGACATGGAGACGGAGCCGTAGTCTGATCGAGCGGGCATGATGAAGGTGTTTTGTGGTGTTTGTGTGTAAGTGGTTGAGATGAGGTTGAGTTGTGTGATGAGTTATGAATTATGAATTATCGACTGAAGCAAGAGAGTCGAATTGATGAATTGAATAGGCTAGTGGTAAGCGCCGGCTTCAAAGGGGACGGTTAATAATGAGGCTGAAGAGTAGCTGTTGTTGTGATTGTTGTTTGTGATAATCGATGATGAAAACCAAAATCGAGAGGGGGATGTTAGGGTCTTATTATACCACAAACTCTACAGCCCGAGAATGCACATCAGCAGTGCCGAGAAGGAGAGGAGCGGAGCGGGCTGGGTACCTGTAAGCCCAGGCCCAAGTCCAAGCCCACCGGGCCTGAAGCCTCCACCCCCGGGTCCCTTGAAAATGCAGTCACGGTGGATTCGACTTGTGTAATGGGGTGTGGCATCCGATGTTAGTGCGTATAAGTGGGTGTGTGGTGGTGTGAGTGGCACCGTAGCCCATCATCATCATCATGGATGGACCCTTCTTTTTCCTCTCTGTGTGTGTCTCTCTCTCGCACACACACTTCATGGCCCGGATGTCATACCCGTCCCTAGGAAAGCCAAAAGACTTGAGACCTTTGATGAGGTGCGAAAATAACTTAAGGTAAGGGACTTTTATACAAAAATACCTCAAATTATCATGAATTATCATAAACTATCCTAAACTTGTCTAAGTATTTCTGTCACTTGGGTCGAGGTCTCAAGTTTTCTTACATCCCCTAACCGTGATACCATCAACAAGCACGAGACAAACTTGACCTCTCCTCTCTTGTCTTCTCAAAGCGGGAAATGTCCCTAGAACACAACGAAAAAGAGGGGATCAACAGTCCGCTCAGACCAATGTAATGCCATTATGAGCGACTGATCGTCAGAGATAGTCGTCCTCTAGCGCATGTCAATGGCGTAGCTTGACGAGTCCCTACTGAAGCCCGCTGTAAGCTTAGGAGAGATCGTCGGTTTATCCCTGCAGCCTGACGAAGTCTTCTCTGATTTGCTCAAGTCCATTGTTCAGGGTCCTGTCCCCATCGCCACTTTTTTTATTCAGAGCTTCTGAGAGGTGAGGCTACGTGCAGGAATGAGATGATTACAGTACGACCGTTACTGTATTCCGCTCTGCTCTTTGTTAATCAACAAAACCCCTGCAAAGAGCTTAACTCACATCAATCTCGAGTGGCATGGGGAACAGCGCAAATACAGAAAGACCCTGCTGATCCGGTCCCGGCACTGAAGTCATCTCGTGTATCATTGCTTGACTATGGTGGTGGGTGATTGGAAGTCATGTCTCGAAGCCCAAGCCAAAAGACGGGGCAATGATACATGCGGAGGCATTATGGTCTGAGAAACATGCGCTCTTACGACAAATAATACCTCTTACGAAGAGACAATGCGAAATGGTAGCCTATGCCACTGAGTAAACAAAGTTTACCACAAACTGCGCCCGCTTGTTAAGCAAAACTCCGCTGAATGATTGTTCAGCTCCGAGACCATGAGACCACGCCAGGGACCACGAGCTTCATAGAGCGGGTCACGCGGCTGTTTGAAAGCAGCAACGGTTCGCCCAGGCCTGACCCTTTTGCCAAGACAGGACCCTTAAGAGCCGAATTACAGGGATCATCACTGCAGCTCTCGGGCTGGCATTCTTCCGGCTCTGGTGTCGCTCTCTAGTGACTTATAGTCCGGGGGGATCAGAATGGGATTACTCCAAATTGGCAAACGCCTCAAGCAAAGTGCCTGAGATCTCGAGGTCGACAAGCACTGGCGTATATCGAGAGCCACAAGTTTCAGATTTCATTGGGTCTCATGGCAGAAGATAATCTTTGAGGCTCAAACATGTAGCATCGACGTGGGGAGAGCCCGATATGCTCTCGGGAGGCGCACATCACTGGATCCATTCCGAGTGACGGAATTAGACAAGAGGGTGAAATCGGCCCAACACTATGGGAAATCTGCGACAATCCCATGGTCCAAAACCTAAATTCCCTCTTGGCGGCTGATTTCCCCATACCTGGTTGATCACGCAGCCAAAATCCGAAAAGCCTTGCTTTGTTGATGACCAGCAGATGTTACTCTACCCTTAAACAAAGTTTTTGAAGTGAGGTTATTCCCACTTTCCCCGATCTTATTTCGGTGCACATCACACCGAACCTATGAGATATGATTGCACATGAAGACCCTAGATCTTCAAGAGGTTGCAGAACACGCCCCCGGTATGAATCATCTGTTGACGTCGGCACTCAATAGAGAGTGCAACCCCCTGTGTATTCTGGCACTCCTTAAACGCCACGGAAACGGACTAAGTCGTGTAGAAACGGAGAGAAAATTGCTATTACGTCGGATTGTCACCAAAACTGTGTGCTATGCCGCTCAACCAGTAGAGAAAGGGGAAATTGTGGTTGAGAGTCAAGTGGGCCAATGACGGCATGCATGGATCTCTACTGTGAAACAGGTGCGCCAATGAGGTCACTCAGCCGCCACGCTAAAGAGTCGCTTGCTGATGTCACCTCTTACAGGGATCTTTTTCTTTTTCTCCGCAACAGGGAAAGGAAAAAGGAAAACGGAGACTCTCAGGATTGAGGCTCCCGAGAGGAAGATGCACAACGCTACCGTACACCGTCATATCTCGCCTCAGCACCGTTTCGCCTCTGTTATACGCTGCACGTCTAGGGAGCACCAGCGTCATGAGCAGACCAGAGTGGCAGGCTGCAGAGATAATCATTAACCCACAAGGCTAGAGATATCACCGACATTTCATGCCATCTGCGTCATTAGCCAACCAGGGACAACCAAACGGAAAGGCTGCGTTCGACGTCAGTCTTTTTGTTGGTTCCTTGCCTGAAGCTATCTTCAGCTGTCACAGACGTCAAAACTCTCTTAGAGCTTTACTTTATGCCCCACAAGCTTGTGTTGCCAAACGGCTTCTTGGCCTGATTTTTGACCAAACAGAAGCCTGTGATCTCGAGGTCTGGATGGCACTCTCCAAATCTCTGCCCTTTGGACCCCTTACAGCAGTGTCGATACTCAAAAAGGCATCTGCTAATGCTGTCGCCTCTGATCAGCCGTCGTGACACGTGATGACGACACAGCATTTCCAACTCTGTTGTTCGATACGAAAATCATCAATGCCACCTACGAAAGAACTTCTGTCACTCGGAGAGATTCTTTTGCCGTTCTAAACCCTGACCCATCGATGTTTTCCTAGCTTGAATGGGTCCCCCAACCCTCGTCTAGAGCCCGCATCACATCCTTGCTTTGATGTTTGTTTTGACGTCGTCTGGAAATATGACATAAGGTTCTGTCTGATGCAAGATGGCTCCGCTTCAGGTTGGTGAACTGAAATGGCTGCTGATGGAACAGTCCTGCAGTCTTGAATTATTATCAATTACGAGTTTCGAGGCCCTGCCAAATTTACAGGGCTGCCAATTGTAGTTGGAAACGACTGTGCAGATGGCAGCTGCCATGTAAGTCGTGAAGGGAAGTCATTCACGTGAGGTAGTTGGTCCCTAGAGTTGGGAGCTCGCTCGAATCCTCTACCAATCCCTCTCACCTCCTCGATAAGGAGTGATCAACTACGCAATCTCAACGAACAATAATTTGATATCACTTCCGCCTGTCAATTCTCGCTTTGGTAAGTTGCTTACGATCCCCAGTCAAAGCGACGGTGGAGTGGTTGCCTTGCGGCGAAGTTTTGCATCATATTACAGCGCCTCCCATGGATATGACGTTTGAGCCGTACCACCACCCCTGGGGTTTTTCTTCCGGACAAAGCTTCAGTAATCCCCGTCGACCAGTTCTTGATGGTAGGAGGACAGGGGATATGTCACCGCGGTCTCGACTTGGTTGTTTTTGCGACGTGATCTCAGCTGGCATTACGTTGAAGGTTACCCATGCAAGCTGAGACGGGTCATATTGAACAGAGTCAGCAACCCATCGTCGCCACGCACGGGCGTTGCACAGGATCTCGATAACATTATCTCTATTCGGATATTTGTTTTCGGGCCGCTTTGTTAGGTTGGTGACGCTGTAGGGTATGACAAGTAAGTGCGCAGCATCGAGATCACGTACCATAACGGCTGTGTTGTCATAGGGGGTATAATAGCGGAAACCCTCTTGATGAGTAGTTGCAGTGACTTTCTCGGCGTCTTCATGATACCCATAGTAACCTGGCAATGACATATTACTGAATCGTCAACAGCTCCTCATAAGCGTCAGGCCAAGAGAGAAGTGACGACGATTGAAATTGACAAGTGAGGAGATCACGATCATGACGTGCAATTTTGTTCGACGATCTTATCAAGTTCGATAATGTCAAATAGAAGTATTGCTCCTCTTGGCTCGATCTGACAGCCATTACAATGGAACAAATTTTGTGTCTGTAACTGAATATTAGCTTGAAGTTCATGAGAGTAAGTCAAGTTTACCAATAAATAAGGAACTAAAGCCACGAGACAAAGAGAGTCACGAACTATTTATCGCAGCCATAGACGCACACTACAGACTGTAAGCTATGAGTAGATGTTGAATGTATCCATCACAGTGATGTTCATAGGTGACAATTTGAGTTAAAACCAGGACGATGGTGGAAACTTGGCTCGCCTAACCTAGAGCACTGATGATATGTTCGCATTTGGGATTCACGAACTAGGTTGCCAGTAAACCAGTAAACCTGTAATTCTGGGAGATACATGACTCATCTCTCTATTAAACATCAGCCCGGTCGATATGGTATCTCGAGCATTGAATCACGAATTGTTTTATTCTTTATTATTCGTCTGTTGATTTAAAGTTGTTAGCATGAGGTGGGCCACGAAGCCAAGTTTCCCTGTTCAGCAGCCAGGGTCCTTGGCTATTGGCTATGTGCCAACTGTCAACCGACTCGAACTTAGCAATGCAGGGTCTAGATCTAATTGATGTAGGAGGACTCTTATTCTCTTTAGTTGTTAAGGTTCTGTATAGGTTCTGAGCGCTCTACACATGTTTCAATTGCTTATTACTTACAACTGCAGAGACATAGAAACTATGTCGACTGTGAAATTACCAGAGCTTCGAGTGACACATGTAAATTGTCTTACTGTCATGATAATTAAAGTTCAATATTTTCGGCGTCTTAATAGAACCCGTCGCCGAGTTATCTAATCCACTGACAAAGCCAAAGCCACAGCGCATGTAAGTCTCCGAAGCCCCCGGCGGCAGAGGGGACAACCAGCGTTAAGCAATACTATTGGCTGGCGGCCATGATTTATGGGGTCTTCCGCACCAGCTCCCCAACATCTGCCGCGCGCGCAGCATTTGGTCTTTCTAATCTAAACAGGGGCAAAAATGCAATGCTCTTTTAACCTTATTGTTTTTTCAGACGGGGCTTGTGCGCGCGTTAACTGGTAATTGTTGGTTTCTAATCTGCTGAGAAAGCAAGGGATGGAGGGTAGTTGAGTTGCATTGTGTATATAGGTAGAGAGTTACGACCTGTTTGAATGAAGCATCTTCACTCACATTACAACCACGTTTAAGCAGTACCTATTGCAATTGCATCTTCTCACAAAGAACTAATATTCGACAACAACAACAACCTATCACAATGACAGACGTCAAAACCATCGTGGTCCTCGGTGCAGGCCCTGCCGCCCTTCCCGTGATCCGTCAAACAATGGTCAACCACGTTATGAAGCGCAAAGATCTCAAGATGGTCGTCGTTTCACCCAATACTCACTTCCACTGGCCCGTCGCCATGCCTCGTGTCGTTGTTCCCGGCCAACTCTCCGACGACAAGGTTCTCATTCCCTTGGAAACTACCTTCAGCACTTATCCTTCCGACAAGTTTGAATGGATCCAGGGCAAGGCTATTTCTCTTGACACTAATTCTAATCTCGTCAGTGTTGAGCTTAACAGCAGTGCTACTGTTCGCGAGGTCAATTACCACACTCTTGTTATCGCTACTGGCTCGAGAACGAGGGATGGTATGATCTGGAAGGATATCGGATCTACTGAAGCTACCAAGGCGAAGTTGCATGAAATCCAAGATCAGATCAGCAAGGCCAAGACTATTGTTGTTTCTGGTGGTGGTCTCACTGGCTCCGAGACTGCCGGTGAACTTGGCTTCGAGTACTCTCAGCACGGAACCAAGGAGGTCATCTTCATCTACTCTGACGATCTCCCTCTTGCTCCTCCTGCGACAGACGGGGTTCGCAAGCAGATTCTCAAGGAACTCAAGAAGCTCAAGGTCAAGACAATGCCCAAGTCAACTGTCATCAGCGCAACACCTTCAGGATCAGACACCATCCTCGAGGTTCGCTCTGCCGACGGAACGACTAAGAAGATAACCGCAAATGCTTATCTCCCTGCAATTGGCACCATTCCCAACACCGAATTCGTTCCCAAGAACCTTCTCGACAGCAATGGCTTCGTTAAGCAGACCACCCATCTTCAAGTTGAGGGCCACAAGAACATCTTCGTCATCGGAGACGCTGGCAACCTTGAGAACTCGCAGCTTAGCATGGCAGATAAACAGGCACAACATCTTTTCAAAAATCTTCCCACCCATATCGATGGCGGCCACATTCCCGAGTATACTCCTGCCAATAAGCCACTGTTTGCTGTGACCCTTGGTCGAAGCCGGGCGACTGGCCAGATGGGCACCATGAAGCTGTTTAGTATCATGATCTGGTGGGCCAAGGGGCGATATCTGGGTACTGATTATGCTGATGGTTGGGCGGCGGGTAAGAGGACTATGATGACGGTTTTTGAGAAGTAGGGCTGTTACTTGAGATGCGGAGATATCCTGGTATTTGTTTAGTGTTGAGATTCCCCTGTGTTTTTATCATTTTATAGATTTCAATTTTAATTAATAATCACTGAACTGAAATGGAGCTCATCAAGATGGATTACCAGTGATGAAGTCTTCATTCAGTTCACAATCGCTGAGCCTCAAAGCGCCGTCTATCAAGCTAATATTGTTCATATAGAATGGTAGACCTCTAGTACTTGAACCTACCTCGTTTTCGGCCCCCGCAAGAGTAGAAACTATTGATCTAGCAATGAGTAACAATATAAAGTTGTGTTCAGTGAGTGCGTATGTACAGACAGGGGACCAATGCAACCAATCTTCGGCTGACTTTGACCTGTCAAACAATTCGTCAGCAGCAACTTCCGAATTTCACTGCTTCATCATCCCATTTGACAAAATAATCATCATCCTTACAAACACGGTCGGCTCCAATGTCAACCAATTGAACTACACTCCCATATTTTGTCTTGGCGTTCGCTTCAATTAACGCCCACCAACCAAAATGTCGTTCTTGTTGAATATGGTCCATGGCAAATTCACCACAATACCACCACAAGAAGAAGATTGCACAGATAAAGTAGTTATAATCACTGGCGGGAATGGCGGTAATTGAATCCTCACGTCTTTCATTGCCTGCATCTGACTATTTCCAAGGTATTGCCCTTGAGGCAGCGCGACACTTTACCCAACTCAACGCTGCTAAAGTCATTCTCGCTTGTCGCAATCTTGAAAAAGGTGAACATACAAAGAAAGATATTGAAGAGACAACTGGAAAACACAATGTCATCGAGGTCTGGCACTTGGATCTTGCGTCGCATGATAGTGTTCGCGAGTTTGCAGCTCGTGTCAATAAGTTAGACCGACTGGATGTCTTGATCAACAATGCGGGTCTTCTTCTCTTTAAGCGTGAGCTTATCGAAGGGCACGAGTCGATGCTGAGCGTCAATGTCATCTCTACAGCTCTTCTTACGCTTCTTGTTCTTCCTGCTCTGAGACAGACGTCGACGAGGTTTAACACTATTCCTCATATTGTGATTGTGTCCTCTGACGCTGCATTTGAGGTGAGTTCTTTATGAATGATCAAATCGATACTGACTGTACTAGGGTCGCCTTCCTGCACAAGAGCCAAACATCGTCAAAGCTCTTGATGAGCAGACCAGCGTCCTTGAACACTACAACAAGACAAAACTCGTTCAACTCATATTCATGACGCAACTTGCCAAAGCTATTGAGGCATCTGGAAAAGGCTATATCATTGTCAACGGCGTACATCCTGGCTTCTGCAGCACGCCGCTCTTCAATAACACGCCCTTCCCGTTCAACCTTATATTTACAGGCCTTCTTGCGCTTTTTGGACGGACTCCGGAGGTGGGATCCCGTGCATTGCTGGCTGGAGCGTTTGCAGATGAGAGTTTGAACGGAAAGTTTATGTCTAACGGCGCTTTTCATGAACTACCAAAGACTTTGCAGGGAGATGATGGGGAGAAGATGTGTAGACAGGTCTGGGAGGAATTGATTGGGATTTTGGAGGAGATTGAGCCTGGCGTAACAAAGAAAATCTAGGATCAGAATTAACCGTTTGATGGAGAGAATTCGGACAGCTCGACATGTGGTATATGAACTCTCAACCAGTAAATGTAGTGGTAATGGCCCCATCAGTGTGCATTTAACTATCAACGACTGTCACACTTCTAAGCCGCGGAACTTATAGGTAAGGTAGTCAGAAGTGATAACATAATATGAAAGACTTGGTAAGACTGCAATTTCTTTTGATATTTTGGTAGTTATGGTAATTGGATTTATCTAAGTTGATGGACCTGCCAGTCTTATTCAGCGCGGAATAAATCCGCGCCAAAGTGAGACCCACCAAAGTCAACACCATCGACTCCGCGACAGCTCAAGCTTTACATCCACATAAGTTTATGCGCCGACGCTGGGAGAGCAATTCTCCGCCACTATAATATCTTTACTTTGGATTTTCTGGGTATATTAAACACTATTGAATAAGCTGGGTGTCTTTCCTGCGGTATCACCTTATGGACGCGATCCAAGGCTCCTTTGTTCATAGATCGATCTCGCGACCATTCATCTAATCATCGATACGAATATCCCTTCGCCATGGACTCCCGCGCAGCAGCCGCAGAAGCAATGCGCTCGGCCATAGAATATTGGTCTCAATTCGTCGCACGTTGTATCTCTGAACGTCTCGATACAGAGAAATTCGAGAATTACGTTCGACTTGTCCATGATCAACATCCTCTACCTCCCGCCCTCGTCGCCGACTTCTTCCTTCGCCCTCAACCATCAAACGATAATAGCCTCGACCCTCGAATCCCTCCCTATTTACAAGTCCTTACGAGGCTCGGTTATGTCGATGCACCATCAATACTGAAAGCGCTGTACAAATACTCATCTTTGCATGCGTATGCACAACAACCCAATGCCAACGAGGGCAAAGAGAACGAAAAGGAAAACGAAAAAAGCGACGATAAAGAGAAAGATGAACAGAAAAAGAAGATTACTCGATGGAAGAGCTCTTACTGGGCTGAAGAGGTACTTTTCTATGGGATCACCAAGTCCGTAGTAGAAGGCAAGGCCATACGAGATTCAAAAACGGCATTGGATATGACAGGGATCATTTCCAAATGGATGGCTCTTTTTACGACTGCATTTGCGGCCGATATGCTTGAGCAATTGCACACAGCCCAGGTACGGGACGAGATGGAGTCGTCGAGGGCAGCTCTGGTCGCACTCTTACTGCGGATGTGTGAGAATGATATCCTTGTCGGAGCTGTGAGCAAACCAATTGCCAAAGGTAATACGATTGCTCTTCGATTGTACTCATGCTGACTAGTACAGACGTCCGGAAAGAAATGTCTGCCAGCTTGGCAAACTTTGTGCCAACGTTACAGCTCGTGCCGCAAATAACAGACAAGCTCGAGCAGTTTCGAACGGAGATCCTTGCCAGCTCTGATCCTGCTGATAAGAAGAAGCAAGCTAATAATGCTGCTATGGACGAACTTCTTGATTCAGCTGTTGGTCTGGACAATTTTGTCGTGGCAGAGATTCCAGTCAGCAACACTCGAGCAGGATTATACATCTATCTGAATGCCGCGGTAAGTTTAATGCCTATGAATTTGTTGCTCTACTAATTTGTTAGCTTGTTGCACGCCCTCTTTTGGATGACCATGCTTTGTTTTCGTACATGAGCAACAAGTATCAAGGAGATATCCAATCAAGTGCCATCGATCTAATTCTCGCATCTTTTGATATCTTGGCCAACGCTGTTTTCCGCAATGAGGGACAGAAAGACGCCCACCTTTTGAGATCATTCTTGATCAACAAAGTTCCTCTGCTTCTCTATCAGCTGTTGCCCCCTGGCTTCCCAGGCACATCGGCTGAATTCTGCATCACAGAGGCACTAAGCCACGTGGACACAAGCCTGTTTCCTACAGCATCACTCATGTTTGACGAGTCTAGAAATAACAACCCTTATACTGAAAGTATTAGGGAAGAGTTTTGTGCTGCATGTGTACTGCATGGTCTCGTGCAAAGGGAGCACGTGGAGAGGATTCTGGGAGAAATTTCCCTTTCCTACGAACCATCTCTACAGAAGCATTCCAAAGACAAGCTTGTGCAAGACTGCTTGTCTGATACCGAAAAGATCCAGGGGCTCGTTCGGGAACTCGACAAGATGGACGGCAATGTCGGTGCAGTTTGTCAGGCACTTGTTGAGGTAAGTAGCTTCATTCGTCGATTGTTTATTTCTAACAGTCATAGGTGCTACGACAATCATGCCATAATAAGGAAACAATGTCGTTGAAAGTACTATGCAGTCAACTTGCCGCAAAGCCCCAGTCATTAGACGTCATTCTTCTGTTCGAGAAGCTGCCGAACATCCTTGAACCTCTGTGTCAACTTCTTGATAATTGGCGTTATGAAGATGATCAAGAAGAGTACCAGCCTGTGTACGAGGAGTTTGGTGCCGTTCTGCTGCTTGTTTTGGCTTTCACCTATCGATATAACCTAACCGCAGTAGACAGTGGCATCGCCAGCCCCGACTCTTGGGTCGCTAAGATTATTGGCAGAGGACACATTGGACGACAATGCAATGAGCTCACGCAGAGGGAGAATGATCATCTCAACGGGTGGATCCATGGACTTTTTGATACCGAGGCCGGTGGCCTTGGTGATGAGTTGATGTCATCTTGTCCCCCGCAAGAGTTTTATCTTGTCGTGGCACCCCTATTCCAGAGTATTGTCGTTGCATACACGCATGGCTATCTCAACGATGAAAGCCTCAAGGGAGGCATAGAATGTGAGTACTATTGCCATTTAGATGATTCATGCTGACGAAACAGACCTCGTGGATACCTTCTTATTACCATCTCTTGTCCCGGCTATTCGATTCCTGGCGGACTATCTCTGGATCGACCAAAAGGAACAAAAGTCCATCATCAAGATCTTGCAACTCATCCTCCTTCCAAGCTCTATCTCCGGAGAAGCAAGCACAATGCTTTCATCCGTCAAAAATCTCATTGCAAAGCCTTTGGAGCATGCTTTGCGAACATATCAACGTCGAGATCCTAAGAACCAAGACATTGAGCCTCTTCTGCGGACTCTCAAAGATAGCATTCCATTGTCACGCCGGACAGGGGGAACTGATCTCAATGAACTCGAGTCTTGGACTGTTACACCCCCTACTGGTCTCTCTAGCGCCATCAAACTTACCATCCAAGGTCTTGTCCACTGGAGTATTCATCCCGCTATGAACAGTATGCCGACTTCTTATACCCATCGACAAATCTTGGCCGCTTTGAAGATAATGGGTCCTAAACGAGTATTGCATGTTATCTTGGAAGAGGTTCGACAACACACAGAGGCTGGAAGTGCCAGTATTGTCTACGACGTGGCTATCTCATTGATCTGTGCACCTGACGCAGCGAAAGATGCCCCCGCAGTTGTCGATGCAAACGGCAACATGCTTCCACCGGTCCAGCGTCAGCGTAGTCTTCGTGACCTTCTCAAAGTCGAAGCTGAAGGCTGCAGGAAACTGCAGAAGAAAGACCCAGCACTCGCTGAGATTGTTGTACGTCTACATCGCCGTGTCGAAGCACAGATGATCATACCCCAGCCTCCAGGAATGCTTCAAACTGCAGACATGTCTCTTAACCTCGATGGTGACACCGCTGCACTTGGAGATGCCATGGCTGCTGCTGCTTCAGGTGTCCAGGGTGACAATATGTCTGTCGATAACTTGACTCTTGATGTCAGTATGGGTGGTGTACCATCTGATTTGGGGCTTGGATCTGCCAATGATGGAGGAAGCTTGGATCCTTCAGGGGATGCTGCCATGTTTGAAGGATTCGATACTCAGGACATGGATAACTTTGATTGGGATGACATTGGTAACTCGTTTTAGTGAGACGGAAGGCGTCTAATATCATGGGCAGGCGTATGGTACGGGTATGAATAGATGTGTATTCCTTCAATACTGGTTCAGCGACTGTTTTTCCAGGTGAACAAAATGGTCTATACTCCAAATACCTCGCGGTTTCGGGAACTTGGAGCCCAATACTGAGACCCCAAGCAACAATCGCCAAGAGATAAATCTCGAAGATCACAGGTTCCGTGGTCTAGTTGGTTATGGCATCTCGTTAACACCGAGAAGGTCCCCGGTTCGATCCCGGGCGGAACCACATTTTTGCTTGTTCTATCTCTCATTTTGCACCAAGCGACAAGAGATAGTCCTCGTCTTCCTTCCAGGAAGGAGAAGAGAAGTGCAAAAACAAAGTGGATCAGCTATGTCAATCGACCACGCCAGGAGTCGAACCTGGAATCTCTAGAGGGATCAGTTGCTGAGGACCGAAATCTAGCGCCTTAGCCATTAGGCCACGCGGCCTGATCTTGTTGATGTCTGGGTTGGCTCTGTTACGGCTCTCATGCTCTAGACGAGAAGGACAATATCCAGGAGGGGGCCAAGTTTGCAGTAGATGCTGCTCGAACATCAATAAACTGGAGAAGAGACATAGATGGCATGCAATAAATTTCTTTTCTCCCGTTCTGTTCAAGAGCAAGGTTCTCTTCGCTCTGTAGATCTCTTATATAAAACAGTTCTATCATCATCATCAGTCGTGTCTCCATATCCGTAAGTCATAAGTTCAGCATAAATCTTCAGATCTACCCACCCACAGAACTATGGCTCGCCACGAAATTGCTTCATAATGCCAGTAGCACTCCAAAACATGGAAATCATTGCCAAAACAATAGTCATGGGGACAGATGCGCTCTGTATGTCATCGGGATGCCTACTCATCCACCATCCCCACAACACAAAAGGAGGAACAAGAATAAGCAAGTGGTATATTATAACATGAAAGCACGAGATGCAATGCCGGGCCTCGAGCCCCCAAATGGGGATGTCAATCGCTCCCAGGGAAAGTGGTGTCTTTTTCTTCGGAATTCGCTTTATGTAAGTCGTTTCTTCAAACTCGTAGCAGTCATGAAAAGGAGAGGGGTTTCGACATTTACCCCCAATGCAGCTGTTAAAAGCAGCTTCAAAGACGTGTGGGTGAACAGGTGGTATTGATGCTTGAGGTGGCTTTGGCGTATAATCGTAGTCCAGGTCGCTAGCTTTTGGCAGATCTTGACCACAAGCGACAACAATGTTGCGGGTAATGCTCTCAAACTAATGAATTGTCAATGAATATTACCAGAATATGTTACTGGTAGGCATTGGAAGATCAATACGAGGCGTGCGATATATGAGAGTGTAAACTTCATAGTGACATGCACTCACCTTCACGAAATTGCAGTGACTGAGCTGCCAGAAAGAGAACCAAGCTCTCCATCGACCTCGAATTCTTCTATACTCGGCCTTCAATTGTGGGAAGACATTGCTGTCTGGTTGATTGACCGGAATTGGGATCACATGTAGCGTCTTAAGCCCCATGGGTACACCGAATAAGATCCTCAGATCATCAATAGTCAGAGGCGGGATGTTGTTCTGTTCTATAGTAGCCACCCCCTGTTGGACTCGGTTATTGCCGCCTACACCGGACGGTTGTTGACTGTCTTGGGATACTGGCGTCGCAACAGGCAAAAGGGTTCCAGAGTTCCATTTGAACCATGCCGTGACCCTTTGGAAGGCATTTCGCCTGGTATGAGTGACCTTGCAATGGTCTTCAGCGAACGTGGTAGGGTTCTTGATCATTCTCTCAATAACTCGTGCTTGAGAAGGAGTAATATCTACCCAGGATGGCTTGCCACAATGCTATTGCTGGTCAGCAAGTGACATCAAAGATCCTGTATGGTCATGATAACTCACGCAACGCCAGTTCATTCGCACGTAGCCTCTTCGCAAAGGTACCTCTGGTGATTTTAACGGCCACCAATGCCAGGGGCTGCCTGTCAACTCCTCCACGGAAGATTTGATCCGATCAGAAATTGCAACGTCAGTTGGGGTATCAATCAGTTTGATTGTATCCCAGGAAGCTAATTGCATGACTTGTCTGAGTGTATCAGGTAGTAATGAGAGTCCAAGATGCGTCAAGAACGCCTGGAAAGGAGGACCATTCATGAGGAATTCTTCTGCGACTTGAACTGCTTGGAATTCTTCCGAATTACTTTCTCTTTCTTCACACATGTCGTCGTCACTTTCTGTCAGATTCTTATCATCAGCCTCATCTGCCGGCTGCTGGGGCTTCTCATCTGGTCTCGCAGATAGTTCCGTTTTTAAGATCCAATTGTTTAGATAAGCTCGATCCTTCCGGAAGCTCGGGCGTATCTCTTCTTCGTTGTCATTCTTTGGAAGTGAGAATTTTAACTCATCATCAATGGTTCTTTTTGAGATTCTTGTCCTTGAGCCTCGCCCTTTGAGCATTCGAGTCGTCAAAACCTGGATCTGAATGTCTCTTTCGGTATGTTCTCTGAGTTTCAGATACAAAAGTTTGAGTGACCTCCGAATGTTGCGCTGGAGTCTCTCCTTTGGCATGAATTCTGAGGATATATCAAGGATAAAGCGAAGATCTGGATGCCGAGAGAGTAGGTCACTTATTTGGCGCTCAGCGGCGATGATACCAGGGGTTCGCGCAATGCTACTGTTGCATGACTGAATGTCCTCATCAATTGACTGAATTGAGCCGGCCTCGTCAACGGATGCATTCATCTGTACCCTCATGTCACTGGAATCTGCATCTTTATGAGATCCCATCTCGATACCTTCTGGAATCTCAAGTGAAGTCGCGACCGTATAATCCCGGCAACTTATGCTCTCTGTATTTATATCCCGCGGTAACGAGCTGATTGTCGTAAAACCCATCGTCCTGGAGTCACTTCCGGGAATGGGCATCAGTATTTGTCTTGCAAGCTCTGGGTATTCTGGGAGGAAGTAATTCGAAAGGTATTTTCGAGACCTTTCAGATACTTCCAAGTCATCCAAATTCTTTTCACAAATTCCTATAAATACCCTGAATACAAATTCAGCATCAGATGGGCTAGAACCTGACACGTTAGGTAGTGCAAAATTGTCAGTGCAGATTGTCCATAATGGAAAAGGAATCCATTCATAGGTTTCGCCATCAGATTTGAGTTCCAGTAGTGCTCTGGGCTCTGAAACAACTGAAGAAATCTCCAACATCATACTGAAAACACGTTCGAACACATGTTGTTGAGACTTTGGTACCCAATGGGTCATTATGAGAAACTTGAACCAAACTGGAACTTTCCACGTCCTCGATTTCTTATCAAGAAGTTCGACATGGTCTCCTGGCCTGGCTCCATGTTCAAGCATGAAAATGGATATCTCATTTATCAAACTGATGTTTATTTCGTCGAGCCATGGGGGTGAATTGGACAATGTGTCAGGAACATGGGTATTCACAAAAGATACCCAGGGTGTCTCCCCGGCATGGTGAAACTTATTTGGCTTATGCCCAAGAGCAAGAAGAGATTTGACGAGCGATCTATCAATAGACTCTAGACTCAGATGCGCGGGATGAAGGTTATGCGGTGCCACTCCAAGGGCAGAACACAGAGGTGATCGATATTTCTGTGAATATTTGTTGTCACAATATACCGGATCAATCCAAAGCTTGTTCGCGATGTATCTCTGGACACCAGATTCAATCACCAGATGACGGAAAATGCCCCTTGCCATAGACAGATCCGATATGTTGAATTGATTCCTCGCAATCATGGACAACAGACTTTCTTCAACGTTGTCAAGGAGTGCCCAAGTTGTGGCGACAGTATTTTCCTTTTGGTCGCAACGGCGTGCAGATTCAAGACAGTTCCTCAAGCTCTCAGCAAGGTCTTCAATATCTCTCATAGGGTCGTGTTCTTCTAGCTTCTTTTGGTGCAGGTGCTCTTCGTACGGATGAAGCCATCGCTTATACAGTATCTTGAGAGGGTCTGAAACTGAAGTTGCAGTATCCTCACTATATCCCAAGTCTTTGGCGACATCCAGCCATCTTTCGTGTTTGCATACGTTGTCAAAGCCTCCTCGGATGTTGACAGCCTTGCTCATCCAGTATATGTCAACTGGTTGATTGTTTGTACCCTGAAAATCCGGCAAGGCGCTTCCTAGTTTCTTATGAAATTTTGAAAGGCTCTTTACATATGCTAAGCTGACCGCTACAGGTTCGGGCTGTAAGTCGACGAATTCGCCGCTCCTGAAACGTTTGCGCTTGAACCAAGAAACTGATGCTTTGAAGATTGAGAGATCAGGATCGAAACCTTTCCGAACTTTTGTGAGTAAAAGGTTACGAAATTCTTCAGAATGCATTAATTCCGAAACAGCTCGATGCCCGAACACAACTTGGCCATCGACAACTTCCAACAGTCCTTTACATGTCTGCAAGATGTCACGTTGAACCTGGCGGTGTAGCTCTTTTGTTTCTTCGTCATTGGGCGATAAAAGATTCGTTGGTGTCAAAAAAGCGTACATATCATTGGCAAAGTCGTGGTCATGAAAGAAGATAATTTCGGCTGCTAGGCATCGCCTTGCTTCGCAAACGATTGTCAGATATTCAGCAGCTTTCCCATAAGATTGTGAGTTCGAGGATTCTACCACAATCTTCGCTAGGCCTGATAAGTTGCAAGGGGTCTCTTGAACGTTTTCTGCTCGGTTGCAGGCGTCAACCAAAGGAGACGGATCCTCAAGGAGAAAATGAATTACCAAAATTGCCCAGAGGAAGTCACCCTGTGCTCGAGCAGTGAGAGACTCGAGATCAAGATCCTTGTACTTCGAACAGTTCTTATTCTTCTGTAAAGGACTTCTATCCAAGTGAGATGCGATATATTTGCTGATATCGCCTCGATTGACCTCTTCCATAGATAGTTTCGTTTCAAGAGAACTGCCGAGCGAATTCTCAAACGCAGCCCATGGTCTGCTAGAGACAATGATCTTGACGTAAGGGAGACATGTTATGTCTTCTATCAGTTGGAACAGCCTTGCACGATCGCCCTCATATTCATCCAGCCCATCGATGAAGAAACAAATGTTGACTGGAACAGCATTCTTTGTTATGGAGCTAAATATGTGTCCGAATTTAAAGGTTGCTGGCAGGGGGTTCGATGTTGAAACAAGACTCGACGGCGAATTCTTCAAGAGACTTGGCTTTGCACTGATAATTCCAAATACGAGAGATCTCAGAAGTCCCTCAAATGATCTCTGGATTGGTAGACCCATGACGTCAAAGTAGTGGGTGACGATCAATAGCTCCCTATGCCCAGCCCATTTCTGCAGTAAATTCCGGGTATCCTGATGTTCGGCAACAAATTTCATCAATGTAGATTTCCCGGAACATGGTTTGCCTGTAACCCAGAAAAGGCTTCGATCTGAAGTAAGCCAGCGACGCAACGAAGATTGAGCACTGGTGGCATCCTCTGTTTGCTCTTGAAAGACCCAGGAGAATGTTCCCTTTAGGGCCATCGAGATTCTACCCTGGCGAAGTGATCTCTCGCTATGGTCGAGGGCGTAAAGCATTGGGACTGCCGTCTGTAGGTGGCGAAGGTTGGATACGACGTGTTGCAGTCCGTCACAGACTTCGTCCCAAGCCTGTGTTCCGCAAGAACTTTGACTAAGTTGAGCGTGAAGAAGGCATGTGGACTTTTGGAGCTCTTCGAAAGCGTTGCATCCGAGAGAAATGCTGAACCGATTCTCAATGTCTTCCAATTGGCCATCCACATGCCGTACGATGTCACTATTAATGTCAGTATGGATTAACAGAATCAACACTAGATTGACTCACTTCGCCAAGTGATGTGTACTGGGGCGCGTATACTCATCTATCGCGTCTTGGAGGTTCTCAAAATATAAAGGCACAAACAGATGATCAACTAACTGCAGAAACTGTCCCCCTTGCCCATGTTGAGTCTCTCTCTCTAGATTTGTTTTGGCAGCCTTGAGAAGAGTGCCACAATCCCTTGCACACGCTCTCGCGCAATTCAGGATCGTAGTGAGGTTTTTGTCAACAGGTGCAGTTCTTTGCTTCTGTAAAGAAAGCAATCCATCTTGTAGTTCCGATTGGAGGGCAAGAAGCTGATCATATATGTACCGCAAGGGGGGACTTCCTGGCGGAACATGGGCTGCTGAAGAGATAGCTACAAGATTTCCGACAAGGCCAGAATAACGGAAAACTATGCTTGATAGATTCAGTATCGATAAATTGCTCATTTTTGTTATTATGTCGCTGTAGACTTGGATGTTGAGGTGAGGTTGAAGTGCGAAGAAGTGCATTCGGCTAGAGGTCCTATCCTGTTCAGATCAGGCTGTGTGAGGCGCTTTCCAGTCACAGCCCATGCTCTTGTTCTTATGCGGAAACAGATGCCGGCAACACCTTCTGTAATTCGTTAAATGCATCTTAAGCTGGTAGGCTCTGTTTATCCACCCAAACCCGCCAATGCCCCTGCCAAGTGCATTCTTAACAACATAACAGCAGTAAATAATATCCACCAGTATCAATAGAATGACATTGAAGGGTTGAAGCCCAACAAAGGCCAGATTAATTGCGATAAAAGGAAATTATAAGGCCAACGATAAGGTCGATGATTATGAATAGAACGTTATGATCTTGTATGAACCAGGTGTTATAAGAGACTCGAGTTCTTTGTATCACAATTGGGGCACCTCTTGTACCGTTTAACATCAAGGCAATGAACGAAACTGCTAAGCTACCCCGGGCCATACAGACCACTCTCTTCACATTACGCAACCTGCGAAATCAGCCTCGCTAACAGGAAGCTATCAAGTGTCGTCATTCTTCCAAACCAAGCAGCTTTGTCTGGCTTGTCAAGGCCGCTGGGGCTGAGTAAGAAGTCGATATCAGCTGGGCGGTTAGAAGTGGAGAAGGTATCTGAGGTGACTTATATACCCATGCTCTACGGCGGGACCATAAAGCTCCTTGAGCTCTTAGGAGATAGGACAACGGGAGGAGAGTCTTCCATTCTGCTGCTCTGCCCTGGACTCCTCTTCCATAGTACAACTCGTGGATTACCGATATTGGCGCTCACTAAATTACGAGTATAAGCTTCATCTCAGCCTATCGCGCCTGTCTTACTCTACCGACTTTTAAAGTTCAGACGTTAATACTGTAAAAGTATCATGAGCTCTGTTTAAGCTACTTTCTCTATTTGGTTAGAATATTCGAAGCTCGTAAGACGGTTCGGTTTCGGCCGAGTCATCTGGGCTGCAAGACGCCCGACTTGGCTGAAGATGAGGACGATGGCACCACAGATACCATTTCAGTTAGCACCAACACAGCCGAGGCAGTTTTATAAGTGAGCCTTGACAGATATAAAGGACCAACATCACGCCCTTGATTCTCAATAACCACAATTCCACCACAATGTCTCCTAAAGATCTTTTTACCAAATATTTCCCAAGACGAAAGAAGCAAAAAGACACTGAAAAGTCAAAGCCAACACCTGACGAACCTATACCAAGACGCGCTTATACGGCCCCAGCACATATACAGAAGACACCTGCAAATAAGGCGGGCTCTGCTGGACCTCCATGGGGAAGATATCATGCCCCACCTACCACTGACGGTGGAAACTACCCTGTTGGAAACATGTATGGAGGAGTCTCGGATGACACAGTTGGCAATAGTCACAGTCATGAGCACAGGGATAGAGGCCATTGGGGATGGGGAGGAGTAGAAGATGGCTCGGGGAGTGACAGTCATGGTTACGGAGGTCATGGAGATCATGGAGGTAGCAGTAGTGGAGGAGGCTGTAGTAGTGATTCGGGTGGAGGAAGCGGAGGAGGAGATAGTGGAGGAAGCAGCGGTGGTGGTGATGGCGGAGGAGGCGGTGGTGGTGGAGGAGGAGGTGATTGAGCGGTCTATTTATTTGTGATTCGTTGCAGTGTTTGTGTCAGCATGGGAGTTGGTTGTTGGTTGTTAGCATCATGGAGCGTTGGTATAGAATTTAAATGAAGAGTGGATCGATCCAGTAATCTTGACATCCGACCAACAACGCATTGATATAAATCCATAGATCTCGTTTTCAGTTTAAATTCCCTCTTCTTACATGTCAATCGTTTTCGTATGTTCCCGATTACTAGTAGCCATGCGATTCCTGCTCCCCAAGTCCATACTTCTCGCTCTCACAACTCACTCGGCTACCGCCTACAAGCCATGGAACGGCACAATCCCCGATTCCGTTAACGAAGAATGCCGCCAAGTTCTCTCAACAGACGTTGACTGCCCTTTCGTCGTCGGTCGACAGTGGGTGAATGACGGGTATCACTTGAAAGAACAAGTAGTAGAATCATACTGCTCATCATCATGCCGCTCTTCTCTTCGGCAATATGTTTCTGATCTCACGATGGCCTGCTACAATGAAGACATTTGGGAAGAGAGTCCAGGGCCACAAGCAGCCCTAGATTTCGCCATGTCAATGGCAGAGACACATGTGTTTCTTTGTGTTGCCGATGAGTCAGTGGCCGCTTGTTTCAATATGTGCTCACGGAGCTGACTTCTTTACAGGGAAGGCCCTTGCCTCGCAGCGTTTTATAAAGGGGAACGGGATCTATGCTCGGAATGCGGACTCAAGGTGGCGTATCTGAGCGCTATGTTCGAGTTTAAGAAGCCTCTAAAAATCGGCCCCAATAAGTACATGTGTTTGCAGGAAAATTGTGCAAAAGAGCCAGATAGCTTCCTGTCTAAAGATAATGGAAAGGCTACGCTAGATAGGTTCTTCAAGGAGTTAATATGAGAGGGGGGTGCTATGAAAACCAGTTACACTAAACGATCGCTGGAAAAGTACCCTTCCGTTTAACCAGTTCTCATATTTCCTGAAAGCGGTTCTACACTTAGAAATCGTTGTTCTCACCGACTTTACTTTTCATCCAATGTAATACACGCTCTTTGTTCTGCCAGTGCCAGCAAGTGCCTGCATCTGGCGCCTTGAGGCTCGTTTGCTCTACGGTGTGGCGCACTGCAAGGATGAAAGTCAACAAAGGCTGGTTAATCATAATGGCAGCTCAGCTAAGCTACTCCCCTAAGCTATTTCATACCTCTCATCCTCTTTCCCGCAGGACTTTGCTATGCTACAGCATCAGACAACAATTCACGAGCAGTCAACAAAGAGGGAAATGTGGGCTGAGCGTAGGCTGGAGAATGCAGTCACGCACAACGACTTAAGAGACTTTTTCTCGGGACTTCTGAAGGCCAGCACAAAGTCGAACAATATTGCAGGTCAATTCATGTCGAAAATCACCAAGCAGGTTGACGGACTTTCAGATGCCAGTCTCCAGTTAACATGGCTTCCCTTTCTACGTTCCATCATTCCACTTCTCGAGAAGGAGAACATTTCCTTGAGCACTCCAACCTACAAGAAGTTTTTCTCGGCCATCATTCATGCTATTATTGACAACTATCTTGGTCCGGAGCCTCGTAAGCCTTGGACATGGGCCCTCGCCGGTGTTCCCTGCAACTGTAGCGACTGCGAGCGTGTAAGCGCCTTTCTTCGTCACCATACAAAGATGTCTGAAGAGTACCCGATGAACAAGCCTCGACGCAACCATGCTCATCAGGTACCCGAGGAAGCAGGTGTTGGGTGCAGCATTCGAACCCGCCGAGATACGAACCCCTATCCGTTGGTGGTCACCAAGACTTCTCGACCTCAGGGGGTGAAGTTGGAAGAGTGGCAGAAATGACGGGATCAAGTCCTTGAGGAGTTTGATCAGATCCAACCACGTCATCTTAAGAAACTTCTGGGCAATTAGTATGAGACAATTGAGAAACTCTACGCCAGTCAGAAGGGTCAGGAAAAACTGTCGCAGGGACCACAGACAGGAGAGAAGCGTGGAATCGACGAGTGAGTGACACTCAACGTATTGTTTTGCCTTGGATTTGGTTTTATGGTTGTAAGGTCTCAGGGTAGCAGCTGGCCTACCTAAGGTAGTTGGATGATGGCCAAATGAGCTTGGTCACTTGAGAAAGGAAGCATGACATTGGGCGGATGTCCACATTCAGCATGGTTGATGGGAACGCGACGTTGGATGTACAAGTATTGGAAACGCGGAAGAGCATACAAGTCCACAATGCCTTTTCGGACTATGGAGGAAGAAAGTAAACCGCCATGCAAGATAGACATACGATGACACCGTCACAAATTTTCCTTGTGCGGCAACGGTAATGGATACACTTGAGCAGCATCTCCTTGGTTGCTTGTACTACTTCAGAGTTTAGATACAACCTAGGTAGTTAATGCAAAAGAATGTAAGAGTTTTCGGCACCGGATTTTGTGTGAAGTTAAACGATGATGAAAGGTCAACTTTGAGCCTGCAGTAACGCCATGACCTACAAACTTCACATCATACATCAGTGACTCACATCAAAAAGTCAGCCCGCGTGACACGTTCTTCTATCTTCAAGTCACACTTTTCTTCGATCCATTCATTCATATCAACACCGCCAATTCAAATGACACAGAGACCTCAGCTGGGACAGCACTCAGGGATATGACAAGTCTACAAAGTCATCGCATTTCTGATGCTGAGCTATCTGAACAGAAGCCCCCCGGTAAAATTGTTGTTTTGAACGGTTTCCCAGGCACAGGGAAACTTACCATCCTCCAACACCTCAAGAAGTTCCTCCCAAGTGACACAACATGTCTGCTTGACAATCACTTACTTATCGACCCTGTTGCTGCAGTCATTCCTGATCGAATGTTGTGATCAAGGCAGTATTGCTGTACACTAGCGGGAACGTATATAAACATGCAAGAGTTGATATCGGTTCCGCCCAAAAGTACGAGGTTTGACCGGTGCTAGACCTCCAACTGGATCGCGTTGGTAAGATCTAGTCTCTCGTCAACCAACCTACCCAGGCTGTTCTTTCCATGACGTTTGATGAGGGACCAGACTTTCAACGCATTGAAAGCCTTAGATCCAGTAAAGGGGCTGGTCCCCCCTTAATGGCCATTGCGCGTTGGGGATTGAGTCTGAATTGGTCAAGAGGGTGACTTGGGTACTGGGCTCTCGAAACAGGACCAAAGAGCAGTCGTAGGGAATTTGTATTGTTTGTTGGGGGTCAATTGTGATTGAATCTGCCTTTTCGATGCCTCGCAGCTTATAGCGATGTTGTTCTAAAAAGGCGAGTTGGCTGCCATGACAGGCATCAACGTGGAACCAGATACCTTGCTCTTGAGGTTTCTGCGCTAGACCATGTAAATCGTCGGTTTTAAAACTCGTTGGATTACCTGCATATGCAACACAGGTCATTATGGTGTTCCCCAGATTCCTTTCTTGGTCGATGATACGCCTTAAAGCTTCTTGATCCATGTGAAAGTTAGCATCAACGGGGACGGGTATGATATTCTCCTCGCCAAGGGATATCATGGTCATGGCTGAGTGTATTGAGCAATTCTCTGCAATATTTAATACCAACACACGGATCTTGCTCGGCAGCACTGGAATGCCTCTCAAACCTGATCCAGGAAAATATTTTCTCTTGCAGCCAAAAGCGCAACAGTGTTTGAGAGACATCCCCCGGGCGTAAAGACTCCGCCATATTCTGGTTCAGTAGTGGTATCAAGAGGGCTGCCCCGAGTGCAGCAGGGCACATAGTAGCGTCGGGAAATCCCAAAAGAGTTGGGGGGATTTGAGTTACTACTCTTCAAAGCAATGGACGCAAACTCCTCGACAAGTTGTTCGTCTGTGAGGCCAGACTCTGGCATGGAGTCGAAGCTGACTTGACGTGGCACAATGCTCTGGCCTTCTGGACAACGATGGCTGCCTGTCTTAAACAGCATGCCCAGTCTAACGACCTCGTCAAAAAGCGGTTTGGTCTTGCCCTTGTCTTCATCTCTGGTGGTTCTAGAGGATTCATTAACAGTTGGAGAAGAGGGAGTAACCATTTTGGGCAAGGGAGGGGAAAAGAAAATCTACTAGTGAGAATTTCGAATAGGGGGGTGAGCAGGCCGTGTAGAGGCTGAGCAGGTTCTGCAATGTTTTATATATGGCTTTGTTGTGCACAAAACTGTTGTCTTGAACTCAGTGGGCCTTGTGTTTTTGGCTGTGACAACCGCCTTTACCTTATTGAACTACCTCATACATGGGAGGCACAGGAATATGTGTCTCCTTCTGGTGCAAACTAAAGGTTATGGTGAGACATAGCATCTGTACCTGATTTAGGCTCAAGTTGAAGGGAAGCCATTACAGCTACGTTTGTAAAAGAGTCCTTCTTCAACTGCCAACCTACACAACACACATCAGACTGTGTAAGAGAGCACGAGATACCGTGTAATTCGTGAAGGGGTTGACCACAGGTATTCATAACATTTTCCTTCGCTTCCATTAAGAATTGCTGTGTCATTGGAGCCTTGGTTAACTTGTGCTAGGGTGGTAGCTCTACGCTATCGCAACAAGCCGGTATTGCACTTGACTAAGTACGTATGACTAATGAAAGTAGGAAATGCGAGATCCTGTGTACTTTATAAATATATAGTTTAATATTAAAATACCAGTCTAGTAATACATAAGGTAAGGCTAATGGTATATGAGTAAGATAATATAATATTAATATATTATTAATATAAATAGGGGATAAGATATTATATATTATATTTTTTAATATAATAACTTTAATATTAAGTTTTAGCAGATTATATAATTATTACCTTATACCTTAAGATTTAATTAAATAAGTAGCCTTAATTTATAAGTATAAAGAAGATATTTCCCTTATCCTTAGTAGGCTAAATACCCTTTTTATTATCAACCTCTTAAAGCAAGGAAAAAGGATAATTTAAAAAAGGAAGGTTTTAGTATTTTAAGAAAAACTATAAAGGTCAACAGACTGAGGCTAGCTTGGCAGGTTAATAATAGATTGGATTAGGTCGCAAGATAATGCAGTAGGATAAATACAGTTAAATAACACTTGGTATATATATAAACTAAAGATAGGAGGTAAGCATGGAATCAACAGGGAGTGATATGTAATGTAATGCTTTTGCTTGGCATTAAGCCTGCAGCACTATTGGAATATGGCATATGTTTTAGCTCATGTATGACAAGTCTATGAAATCATCGCGTTCAGGGCCGTGAATGGAGTTCCGTTGGCCTAAAATATGAGATGGGACAATGATCGCCTAAGCACACAGTGTAACATCATGGGAATGTATTAATGAGGTATCAAAAAGTAAGCGCTGCTAAATACTCCAAGACCTGCCATTTGATTCAAAGGATCAGGGAAGAGAAGATAAAGAGATAGTGGGGGAATAATGGCTAAGATATAATGCAAAAGATCTAAACAAGCAAACAAACAAGAAAGTCAAGACGTTCATTGAAACCACCCCGGGTTCAGGAAGGCAATTCGAACCTTTGATGATAAGGTTGCTGCACTTCTTGGCTATGCAATTCTTGAGGGTATGAGACGATCCATGGCAACTTTGACGCATCAACTGTTTCCACAGGTTCTGCGGTCGGCTCCTCTTGGGGCTGATTCCGACGTCGACGCCAGCACAAGAAGACGCCTACACCGGCTGCTATGGCAGCGGCAGCAATACCAGCACCGATACCAGCCTTGGCTCCAACCGACATTCCAACATTATCGTCCTCTTGGTCGTCCTCTTTACTGTCCCCTTTGTCCCCCTTATTATCGGTGCTATCGGCTGTAGGGGTACTGGAGGGCGCTTCTTGGTCATCCCAAACTCCACTCCAGGATACCTTCCAGTCATTCCCTCCCTTGCTCACAGTCTTGTCTTTCTCTCCGATCGATACAACGTTGGGTGTAGCCTGGATATTGGGGCCTGGGGCTTGGGCTAACCACCAGGTATCGATGTCGGGGTGCCAGTTGGCCCCAACGAAGGCGTCCTGAAGAAATGCACGGCCTAAAACATACTGGCCATTGCCATTTGAATGGCAAGGGAAATAAGGTGTTGGCTTATCAGACAGAGGTGCCGAGAGGGTTAGATTAAGGTGCATAAAAGGGACACGGATCTTTATTGGATCGGTGTTTGAGTTGGAGATGAATGAAAAGCTCAGGGCAGAGGCAGAGCTGATGATTTCCTTATATCTGTCTGCCTTCGTATCCCATAAGTATAGGCCAAGACCTTCGTTGAACTTGACAGGGAGATGGGCGGCGATGCTATCGCAGGTCGACCTGGGCAGCGTAAAGTAGGGCGAGCAGCCATCAACCAAGACTTTGAGCCTACCTCCAATAGAGGAGTTTCCGTTGGCAAGTAGGCCGTCTTTTGAGTTGAACTCGAAAGGAGACTTGGTTCCTATAACGTCGATACCGATATCCCGAAGTGTAATCCCGTCTCTCGGACCTCCATTCATGCTGAGGACTTCTCCGATAACACGATTCTGGTCGTAGCCCCCAAACCATAAGGATCCAGATAGGTCAGGTTGTACCGATCCGATATGCATGCCGAAAGAGCTCGATCCTGTCCATTCGTGTTCCCACATCCAGCCTGGCACGAGACTTGCGTTAATGGCTGGACCATCGTCTTGAGAGAAGCTCTGGTTTATCGCCCGCCGTCCACCCAGACTTAAACAGCCAGCGAAGAACGGCGATGTCTGGCCCCCGGGATATTTGATCTTCTGTGACTCTAAAAGAGCAAGGCTCACGTTTTCCACTATAGCCCCGTTCAACCACATGCGGTCCAAATGTCGAGTTGCTGGATTGCCTTTCAAGTCCAAACCAAGCATAAAGCCACTGAGATCTGCAGGCATTTGAATACCTCCTTGCGTACCGGAAGAGTTGTCGTAGGTACCAGCTTTAGACGCGTAGCATGTACCCTTTCTGCAATACCGATCTTGGATCAACCACGACTCCCAAGCGCTGCCAGGATATAGGCCAATTGATGATTCTTCGTTTCCCATCCGAATACTGACTGCACGCCAAGGACCGTCCGGTCCAAACGTATCGTCTGTCCATTTGACCTCTCTGGGGGTTTCTTCGGCCGAGATGGTGGCTATCAATGCCAATGCAAGTGTTATAAGGGTTGCCAGCATAGTCAAAGGGTTTGTTTAGATAGGAGGAGGAACGAACAGAAGGATATGAGTAACCACAAAAGGGGCTCAGGAGTATAAGTAGACTAACCGAGGTATGTAGATATGGAGAGCGGCCTATGGAAGGAAGTCGGGGGAAGAGGAAAACGTGCAAAGCGGTGGGAGCAGAGCAGACTCGACGAAGAACCCCAAACAAGACCCAACTGTCCCAACTGTCCCAGCCCAGAGTCCTCAGTCCTGAGATGAGGAATCCCAGTTGTAGCATGATTTAGCCAATGGTGGATTCACGCGCTCAGCTCAACCCACTTGGCTTGTAAGAGCACAACCAACATGCATAAGATAGATAGGTATCCAAGGATGTGAAATGAGTCTTTACCGCTTGAAGACTCATTGTACCAACAAAAAAGTCATCATGCCCTGGCAAGCCTCTCCGCGTCACCAACAATGAAGTATGCATACTGCAAACTTGATCTCTGGACCGGCCGGGAAATTCTGTAAAGGCAAGGCTCTGTGCTCTCTAACGACAGAGCGATTACGATGGTCTGGTCGTTCGTTGGGCCTGGAAGGTCATGGCTGTGTCTTCTATAACAGCACAGAGATAGAACAACGAACTTACAATAGCTTCACGAACATATATTCCTCATACGAGAAGATAAACGATCCAGATGAGGACAAAAAACTGAAGGCATCGTGTGTCTGTCTGGAATGAAGCACCTTACGTGATAAGTCACGCCATGTACACCAGGTACATTGAGTTTGTGTTGGTTGTTAGGACGTCTTAATCCCTGAAACACCGCAAATAAAAATATCGACCAGGGACCCAGGGCTTCCTCTGATTGGCGAACCGTTTATTGTCTCTTCTCACAACTAGGCAGATTAAGGAGGTATAACAAATCTTGCAGTGTTAATTCATATCTAAGCGCCTTAACCAAGATGTCTTACCAGGGTCTTTTCTTAATTAGGTACTACGCTGCAAGCATTCATTTATTCGTTCTGTTGGGCGGCAGTTGGCTTTGAATTTCACTCAGACTCTGTTGGCTCGCTCGTATTTTTTCTTTTTTCATTTTCTCTTTTCCTTATTCATTTTCCATTCAAACATTCATTATCTAGACTTCAAGCTTCATTCTGTCTGACAATATTGTATAATTCTATAAGGACTGGCTCCTATCTCTCTCTCGCACTCTCTCTGTCTATCAGGACACAGTCTAATCGCACTCAGCGTTTGCTTGCTCATTTGCGCAATACAGTTACTTCATAATTAAAACCCCCCATCGAATACTTTGAAATTAGCTTCCACAACTCAGCTATTGTGCCGTCCAAGACAAATGGCAAAACTATTAGCAGAACTGACACCTCTGTTCCCGCCGAGCTTCATGGCGTCGAAGCGATACCGATGGGCAGCAGGACTCGCTTTTACCATCTTCGTCTTTTTCCTCCTCTCAAATAACGGATTTTTTCCCCAGAAGCCGTTGAAATTCCATGGCTCGATCGAGGTCGATTGGTCGCGCTTCGCTTACACGCAATATGTCACCAATAGCGACTATCTCTGCAACTCAGTCATGTTCTTCGAGTCATTGCACCGCCTTTCCAGTCGTGCCGATCGTGTGATGATGTATCCTTCTCACATGTTGGAGGCAAGCAACGACAGTTCTGTGGATACCCAATTGCTCATCAAAGCTCGTGATGAATATCACGTCAAGCTCGTTCCCATTACAATTCAGCACAAGGACAATAAAGATGGTAAACGAATTCTCTCATAACTTCACACAGATATAATTCTTGTCCAGGAAGCAGGCTAACTAGTGCCGTTTCTTTAGATACCTGGGCCGATTCTTTCACAAAGCTCCTCGCTTTCAACCAGACCCAATACAGTCGTGTGCTTTCTATCGATTCTGATTCCATGCTCTTGCAAGATATGGATGAGCTATTCCTTTTGCCCCCAGTACCAGTAGCTATGCCTAGGGCCTACTGGCTGTTCCCCGAGAAGGAAATCCTCTCATCTCAGGTCATGCTTATTCAACCTTCTGAAACAGAATTTGCTCGCATCATGGCCAAGGTGGATTCTGCCTCTGAGGACGACTACGATATGGAGATAGTGAACTACCTTTATCGCGAGAGTGCCCTTGTTCTCCCGCATCGTCCCTATGATTTGTTGACGGGTGAGTTCCGTGGGGATAATCACAACAGGTATCTCGGCTCTGATACTGAGCCTTGGGATCCTGCCGCTGCCTATAACGAGGCCAAACTCGTCCATTTTTCTGATTGGCCGCTTCCTAAGCCATGGATACAAACGGACGAGGAGCTTCGCCTCCAGTCGCAGCCCAACTGCACGACTTTGTCAGATGGCGCTGAGGACTGTGCAGCAAGGATAATCTGGAACTCTTTCTATACAGATTTTAAACGGAAACGGAAGGTAAATTTCAATTTCAATCACCATTTACTTGTCTAGAACCTAACAAGATCTAGGAAATTTGCGGGCTGAGCGAGGTGGTGATATTGCCAAAAGAAGAGTACGAGGATTGATCCTGACTCCCTACAAATGCAGGCTATTCAATATCAGAGCAATGATTATGGGATTCAGTATGGATGTTAAACAAAGGCGTATATATTGATTACTATTTATGAGTGACAGGAGGCGATTCAACAGGTTCGTTGTGGGATGGTGGAGGTGTAAATGTGATGAGATATCTATGTTATATTAAGATCGATAAGAGATGATTTGGCATGAGTAATATTTTAGGACTAAAGCAAGACACTATAATGTAATATAAAATACCCTGCTTCCCACAAGAAAGCTGTCGACTTACTTTGATCAATCGACCACATGAGGACTATCCTTTCTACACACTTACACATGCGTGTGTATGATGTGCACGGCAATCGGGCCAATCACGGATCTTAACAGCGGACCCATAGTTACCCGTTAATTGACGTTGTGGCTGCGCTACCCTACATTCGCGTGTGTAAGTGTGACCCTTTGGATTGTCCGTCGATAGAAACGTTGCGGCAAACGATAATAATGTGTCAAGTATTGTATCTTGTCCACAGGAGAGCGGTCTTTCAAGTCAGATCAAGTAGGCGACTTGATAGTTGGGTCAGTGACAACTAGCGAGTATCCGCTGTTGTATGTTTCTCTGGTGTTTTGGTCTAGACTCAACCATCTTTTGCTCAACCAGCGAACTTTTAATTTCTTTCCCAGACGTCTCCTTCACTCAACCTATGCTATTTCTGCTACGCACGTGTGGTTCCTCTAGTTTGTTATCGCTAAGATGGTCAGTTTGTTTGCAAACCACCTCGTCAGACCTTCGATTTTGGTGAAAGTTGCGGGTTCGACAATCACATACGACCATACCTATCAGAGAACTCGGGATCCCGTCCGCTCTCCCATAGATAAGCTGATAAGGGGCGAATTAGTAGTTGGGTCGGTGACGACCAGCGAATCCTCGCTGTTGTATGTTTTCTCTTTTGCTATTTCTGTGAACCTTTTGCTGAGGGGGAAGGTTGGGTCGCGGGAGGGATGTCGAGAAGCAATGGTGGGCTGAAACCGCATATTCCAGTCATAATTGGCTTGTCTTGTATAGACTAAAGTGCTGAAGTGCAATATCGCTATGTTTGACGTAGGCGTTGGTAGACAAATGGAGTCAAAGCCATGGTGTATGCGAACTCCTATTCGAAATCATCGGAGCTCTTTTACACAACTCAGATAGTAAACCCAACCGCTGTACTGATCTCAATCCGCAGTAACTCTCTGCTCTTGTAACTCGATTATCCTCGTGGTCGAGACCCCCGTTGCAAAAAGTCCAACTCCTTCTTCTCCTTACCAGCAACCTTCTTCCTCTTCCTCTCAATCGCCCTGTCAACCTGTCCCTTACTCATACCCTCATATCTGTTCACAAGTAGCTGCTTCTTCTGCTCGCTCTTCTTCAGATAGAATGGCGTCTTGCCCTGCGCCACAAGCTCCTTCTCCTTCTGGCGATGCTCCTTTAGCAACCTCTCCTCCTCTTGTCTTCGCATGTTGGCCTTCTTGCGAGATTCCATGGATTGGAGTTGGCGCTTTAAATTATCCTTCTCGTAGGAATCTTTGGTCTTCTTGATCTGTGCGCGAAGGTCGGCCATCTCCTTGTCGCGGTATTCGTCTAGGAAGGCGTAGGCTTTGCTGGCTTTTTCTTCGTCAACACGGCCTACTAGGGGATCGAAGCGAGGATCGCGATATTGGCGCCGATTATCGGGAAGGATCTCACGGCGACGAGATACGGGTTTCTTGGAGGTTTGTTCTTGGGGGGCGTGTTTGGAAGATCGTTTGGGCTTAGGTTCGTCCTTGGATTTGGTGGATTTCCTGGGCGCTGGCGTTTCTGTTTTCGAAGCGTCTTCATCGGTGGATTTTTTCGATTTTGATTTGCGCCCAGCAGATGGTAGTGATGCTTGTGCTTTTGCGAGAGCTCCGAATGAGACTGATGAGAGGTCTATCTTTGGTGTGTCTTGCTCGGGCTTTGATATAGTCAGCACTGTGTTTGCGAGAAGAGGCGTAATGGCCTTGCCTCTGATTCATCTTCCGATGCTTCTTCAGATTCTTGACCTTCCTCTTCCTCGTCATCTTCATCATCAGATCCGCCTCGAATACCCTCCTCCTCAACCTCATCATCGTCCTCACTTGAGGAACCTTCACTCTCTGGCTCTTCTACCCACTCATCCTCTCTCCTCGGCCGCACTCTTCTCTCCAATCCAAATGATGGTGACGGTTTTCGCTTGAAGGCCATGTTGCGCTGCTGTGTGAAGTGAAATAAGCACTCTTCAATGTTTGACCATTGCGACGCTGGGAACTTTTTTATTTTCCAACATTGATAAGCCCCACGAAGAAGCCTTATCTTAGCGCCCCGATAACTGAATAACCACATTGAACATCCTAAGATGGTCACTGGTTAAAACTTACCTCAAGATCAAGACTTTAGAAGATGGAGTATTATTCTTATCCTACAGCCCTGAGTAGTCTCTTATAACAAAGCAGTTTCAGTACATGATCAGTCTAAAAGGGCTGTTATGGTCCCTCTATTTAATGATTCGCGTAAATGGACCTAGACCCACCTCCCTCTGCCCCGCGATTTTCGGCCGCTAACGTTAAGAAAAGCCAAATGCCTCCGTCGCAAATCGCATTCTTCTTTAATGCGCCTCTCTTCCTCCTTTCCCCATGCTGGGCAGCGTTCGCCATTTAGTGAACAGTCGCACGCTCGATATTGCTTTTTCTTGTACATTCCGCGCTCATAGATTCTTCAACTATAGATCTCTTTATTCATTGCGATTCAACTCCACAGCACCACAGACTTCACCATTACAGGATGCTTCTTTGCTTATCCCAGCTGCAACCATGACAGAGTATCGAGAGCCTGTGGTACCGACTCGGTCGTCTTTCAAGCCCATAAATATACCGGGTCTCACTTTGGCGCAACCGAAACAGAGTGATGCGCCTAGGAATGCGCCCAAAGGCCCCAAGAATAAGAGTAAAGCGGCTGCAGACGCAAAGTACGTTCAGAAAGATCTTATTCATAGATTTATAAGGCATTCAACACTCCGAAGGACTTCGGAAACGTATAGTCTATGGGCCAAGATTTTGGTCTAGATTAGACTGAATTTACACTATGATGAAGACTGCATCGCGAGCCTCTGAATTCTATGGGATACAGTCTTTCATACCCTGACACTAACTCTTTCTTAGAATCCCCAAAGGCCCAAAGGCAATGACCCAAGCCCCTCTAGCTCGACGCCGCTCTTCATCACCCCGGAAGATCCCAAGCAAAGCCTCTGGAGGTGTACCCGACCCTACGCCCCAATATATGGCCCAAGCGAACCTCAGCCCCGAACGACTCCCTCAACCACGTCGCATTCTCATTATAATGGACCTCAACGGTACTCTCCTCTATCGACCCAATAAGCGCCGGCCCTTCAACTTCGTCGAGCGACCTCATGCAAAGACTTTCATCAACTACTGCCTCGACGCTTTCCACGTTGCGATTTGGTCCTCAGCACGTCCTGACAATGTCCACAAAATGGTTGAACAACTCCTCACACCTGAACAGCGTGAGCAAGTTCTTGTTGTCTGGGGTCGTGATTCTTTTGGTCTCTCGGAGGGAGATTATAATGCAAAAGTGCAGGTCTACAAACGTCTGACGACTGTGTGGACTAATCCCCGGGTGATGGCTGCTCATCCTCAGGCTCATAAGGGAGGTCTTTGGAATCAGAGCAACACTATTCTGGTTGATGACTCGTTGGAGAAGGGGCGGAGTGAACCTTTCAACACGCTTACACTTCCAGAGTTCTCCGGATTGTCTACGGAAATGCCCAATGTCTTGCCCCAGGTTCACGATTACCTGAATGAACTGGCTTACCAGGCGGATATCAGTCGCTTTGTAAGACAGTCACCTTTCAAGCTTGATCCAGTTTATGTCTTGCCAGAGGACGCAGCCTAGTAAGCTTTGACCCTGCGCCAAGGGGTAAAGTATTGGGAATGAGATGAATCATAGGATATCATAGACGGTTTAGATTCCTTTAGAGATACCCGAGGTTTCGGCCCTCAGGAGATATAATTTCATAGCGTGTTGATGATAGAACATGAATGATCATTATTAAAGGCGGCACAAGCTCTGTCTCACAAAAAAAAAAAAAAAAAATCTTGTCAATTGTCTATCAGTAACAGACAGCTCTTCGTTCTTTTGGGTACTACATAGGGAATTGCCAGCCGGCAGGGCCTTCATGAGGCATAAAATATCATAAACTCATTTACCCTCCCCAACCATTTAACCATAAGCCATTATCATCATCGCTCTTGTTTTCTTTTTCCTTTTTTTTTTAAATTTGTTTACTTGAAGACCTTACCGTCAGCAAGCTTGTACTCCTTGCCGTTGACGGTGATGGGCTTCTCCCAGCCCCAGGCATCCTCGACGAACTGTCGGTGCTCGGGGTTGGTGGGGTCGAGCTTCTCGAAGTTGTAGCTCTCCCAATCGGGGGCAACATCGAAGGCGGGAACGTGCTCCTGGCCTCGGATGACGAAAGCACCCTGGATGACGGAGTCGTTGTTCTCACCGTAGACGGCAGCGCATCCGAAGATGTACTTGCGGGAACCCTCAAGACGGTTGTTGAAGCCACCAATCAGGTTGTTGGACATGAAGGTAAGGGTAAGTTCCTCGTTGTACTTGTAGTCAACCTTCCAGAGGGAGTACTCCTCGAAGTTGAAGTTCTCCCAGAAGAACTTCATGGCCTCGTTGTGGTCCTTGATGTTGGAGTACTGGCGCTTCCACTCATCGAGAGGGAAAGAGGGGCGGCCGAGAGCCTCAAGAGGGTGCTTGGCCTTGGGGGCAGCGGGAGCCTCATCAGAAGCGGGAGCAGCAGCCTCGGCGGCGGGGGCAGCCTCCTTCTTCTCCTTCTTAGCTTCCTTCTTGGGCTGCTCAGGCTTCTTGGGGGGAGTGTTGGTAAGAGCGGGAGTCTCGAGGAGCTCAACCTTCTCAGCAACCTCAGCGAAGATGGGCTGAGCGCGGACAGTCTCGAACCATCGAGTGACGGCGGGGTTCTCCTCGCGCCACTGCTTGTCGAAGAAGTACTGGAAGCCACGGACAGCGATGCCAGCAGCGAAGAGATCGGCAAGGGTGATGCGCTCGCCAACAAGGAAGGTGTTGCGGATGAGGTGCTCCTCGACAACGGAGAAAGCCTTCAGGGAAGCCTTGGAGGCATCGTCGACGTTCTTCTTGTTGTAGGGAGCGTCGCCCTTGAGGGGACCGAACCAAGCGATGAGGCTGGGAAGGACCTCGGAGTTGAAGAAGGACATCCACTTCAGGATAGAAGCATAGCTTTGACTGGTTAGCACGGGAACTTCTCAAGGGCCGTAGACATGAACATACTCTTGCTTGGTCTTGCCGAGAAGGGTGGTCTTCTCGTTCTGGGAGGTGACTATAGCGGGGTTAGCAAGGATCCCGACAAAGCTGACAACATAGACAAAGATGAATTGGGTTGCAGGGTCAGAAGTTAGACGGTATCCACACAATAACTCTTGAAAAGACATTTCAGATAGGGATAACTGTATATAATGCTAGGTCATCACTCGCAAGGGAGGGGTAAGAAGAAAGAAAAGTGGTGCCACAATAGGCATGCATCGTGCACAGCTTTACTTACTGTAGATGGCAATGGCAATGCACTCAGAGAGAGCGAAGCCATCCTCGCCAATGAAGGCAGGGATCTTGCCGAGACCGTTGGCCTTGAGGTGCTCAGCAGTAGCGTTGCCCTTCTCGGCCTCGACGATGTTGAGCTCGATGTCGTTCGCCTTAGCGACCGCGCGGATGGCGGTAGAACGGCAGTTGTTCTGGAAGAACCAAGACCAGTCAGTAACGACGCTCTTTGTTTGCACTTGCAGCAAATTCAGATTCAATTTCAATGCTCGAGAGTATGTACCTCGCGGGTGAAGAGAGTTCCGAAAGCCATCTTGATTGCTTTGCTGAGGCAGCTGAGAACGAACAAGTTGACAGACAAAGAGACGAAGGAGGAATGAGGAGAAGAAAAAAGAGGGAGGGGAAGTTTTTTTCTAATAAGTGTGTCAAATTGCTTGCCCCGCGCTAGTGGAGTCCTGCCTTACTGCCCGAGCAACGAGCAATGGAAGAAGTGGCTGTGACATCAAGTGGCGGGTGAGATCTGTGGCGTACAGATAAGTCTAATCGAACATCTTCTCCACGTGACCTCACCAACTCAGCTAGCCAGTGATGAACCTCGAATTCCCGTGAAGTTTTTCTGGACAGTCAGTGAACCTCGAGGTCCGATACGATACCGACGGGGCCCTCCTCCAAATTGGCCATCATGTCGACATTTTCACAGAGCCTGCGGCAGCTAAGATGCCAAGGCAAACTTTTCCGAGCACCATGGCCTCAGCCTGTCTTGCAAAGAGCGACTTTTCCCCTCGGTGTACGAAGCATCACCAGTGAAACATCTTCAACGATCATCGAACCCAAGCCCGACCCTTTCGCCGTGATAGATTCGAGTTCAAAGATCTCGCTACCATTCCAGGATGTCGAGCATGCGAGAGCCGTTCCCGTCTCGGCTTCGTACTTCTCTCGGGAACCTCAATTCAATGAGATGTACCTCCGAATCGCTCGTCTTCTCACCAAATACTACACTCTTCCGACACTACCTCCAAGTGCTGCTCCTCCGACAGCTTGGGTAAAGCTCGAGGAAATGCGATCGAAACTTGGTGAACCAATTAAGGCCTCCCACTACGCCAAGGTGATTCGAGTTGCCAAGCGCCTGAATCAGATTGAGACCACACTCTTCCCTGAGGAAGTCCGGGTTGCTCTTGAGGATTTCAAGCGAGACATCAACCCTTTCATGAACGTACCACATGAGGTGACAGTCGACAAGTTTGGACGAGCTATTGGTGTCGGCAAGCGAAAGGAATCTACTGCTCGGGCTTGGGTTGTGGAGGGTACGGGAGAGGTGTTGATCAATGGCAAGACCCTTAGCCAAGCTTTCGGTCGTGTTCATGATCGTGAGAGTGCGGTCTGGGCTCTTCAGGCCACCGAGAGATTAGACAAGTACAATGTCTGGGCATTGGTGGAAGGTGGTGGAACAACCGGTCAGGCCGAGGCTCTTACATTGGCGGTTGCCAAAGCTCTGATCGTTCACGAGCCAGCGCTTAAGACTGCTCTTCGAAAAGGTATGTGCTTGATAATCACCGTCGCGATGGATTTTGTTGCAATGACTAATGCTCGTATTCCCAGCTGGATGTATTACAAGAGACCCAAGGACAGTGGAGAGGAAGAAGCACGGCCATGTCAAGGCACGCAAGATGCCCGCCTGGGTCAAGCGATAAGCAAATTTTGCAAAGAGATCACATTGCACGATTTTGGATTGAGCATGTTGTTGCTGCGATCATGATGAGAAGGATGGTGAGCGGGGCGCTCATCCAACCTCCATGTATAAACAATACTTTTGTAGTTTTAGAAACCCATGTCCGGGCCTTCGAGAAGGGGCCAGATGTTGAAATCTTTGGCTTGTGATCGTGTGAGGCGAGTATGGCTGGTACCCGTTATGCGAAGCACTTTTGTTCCTTGGTGGTTGACATCGTGTCGGTTCTAAACAACAGTTGGTACACTCAAACAATGCAACCATAGATCTCAGATGAGCTGATGCGGCATCACATCTCCGGCTCCTCGGGTTCCGGAAAGTTGTACCTGTTCGTCACAGGGGAATCCTTGTTGCAAGATGTCAACGCTTCATTCAGGTTCCTGAACGGTATTTTAATGGCATGCAGGGGGTCAACGAACTTTAAGAACCCCAACCTTCTTCATGTGCGTGTAAGACATTTTCTGACGTGCTAAACATGTCAAGCACCTACCGGCCGAACCGGATTGCAGCAAATATGTATGGGCCATTCCATCGAACCCTGAAGGGTGCTCCTTGACGGTAATTAGCAAGCCACCAAGGCGTTGGTAGCTCCCGCTATCCGCTCATGTCATGATTTTATACCGCAATCGGCTATTTTCCCGTGAAGTAAAGTTGAATAATCGTATCGTTAGCGCTAATGCAGGACGAACGTTGCAGTAATACTAATAGTACATGAGCCCTAGACCTTGATAACAGCGGGCTTTTATCAAGTTTGGATCGGGACGGAGCGGATGGCAATCGGCGAAGTGCTGAACATCCCCGGCACTATTAGCTCCGTGGTTATTGAATAACGAATCAACACCGGTTGGCCAGGCGGTGAGTAACTTCGTATTTAACTGTGGTTGTTGTAATTGCGGACACTCTTCCGCAGCCCAGTGGTCGCAGCGTCTCCGCGAGGGACGTTGCTTTGACGCGCAATATGACATTAAAGGCCTGGGTATAGGGGCCGATCCATGAGTCACCCATAATACTTTTGTACCAGTGACTCTTGGGGTAAGCAACTCGTCGACATGAACAGACGGATAGCTCTATATAAATTAATTATCGCAATCTATTGTATCAGCTGTTGAGCTGGAGAGTGGATTGCTGTAGAATAAGAAGGTTTCTAGAACAGTTTCAGTGGGGTGGCTTGAAGTGTTTCAGCTCATGCATGTTCAGGAAGAGAAGCGGTTGGTTTAATTTTCAAGATCCAACGGCACAACGGTGTGGCGGGATGGAGAATCTTCCGAACATGATGTTCAATTAACCCCTGGGGGGATCGGTAACTGGGAATCTCTGAAACTCATGTTAACTCAAATAAAGCAATTCTCAGTAATAAGCATAACGATTCACAACAAACGCGTCTCGTGCAAGACGTGAATTGGACTCATGTCAAGCCCTATGGTTTGAATCCACAAACGTTGCGAAAGTTAAGATAAACTTACAATAGCGATGCGCTAGGCGAACCTTCGATAACTGTTGAACCTTAGAACAATGACGGCATAAGAGATCCAAAGTCGTCGGCGTGGTAATAACTAACATCACGCGGTGTTCTCCTCGAACTCAAGATTGAGGCCGCCGCCGCTTAGCCCGTGCCAGCGCGGATCCAGCTAGAGTTAGTACATACTGATGAAAAATATCCAGCAATCGCTCTCATCATGGTGGAGGTGGAGAGCGTTAAGCATGGACAGACGGCGGTTTGAGGTTGGAAGCTTTTGGGGCGGACGCAGCCACGAGTGGATAGAGACCCCTGTAACCTTAGAATCGGTGCCGTGGCGGCACTCTGTACTAGATACATGCGGTGTATCTGGACAA